GTCTAACACTAACACACACATAGCGAAACATGCACAGAGCGAACCGATTTTCAGGTCTCAATATTACTGTGTATTTTCTTCTGCATGTATTTTCTTTGTTTTGGACCTGTTGCTTCAGATGGCGTATTATGAAGGAGGGAAGCGCTCCCGATACTTTGCAGCAGACAAGAAGAGATCTGTCTTGTTGAAAAAGCTCCGAAGTAAAGACAAAATCTACCCTTCTATTCAGCGAAGAGGATACTACTCTGATCTTATCACAACTGAGGCAAATTTGGGGGAGTTTGAGGTAACTGTTGGTGATTGGTTGGTAGACATTCTGATGTGATTTGCTCCTTCTTTCCCCTCAGACATCTTATTGTCATAATCTCTCCTCCTTTTCTTTTTATGTTACTCTCAGGTAATACCCCTAACCATCAGCACTTAGACCTATGCTGACATAACTGTATTGCAAGTGCTGTAAAACTCAAACTGAAACTGAAATTAAAAGGATAACTGTTACTGTTATTCTATTCTTTCTCACTTCATTCTCCAGATAGATGATGTCTTTAAATTGTAGGAGTTCAATTAATGATCACTATTGGTTCTTAACAGAACACATACAGCCTACAGCCGAACCTGCTTTAATGGCCATCTGTATAAGACAATCACCTGTACAAATGTCTGCTTCCCATTTCCCCCCTCGTGTTATTTTATTCACATGATAATGGCAATGTGAAACGTCCACCTATCCAATGACAAAGAGTAATAATTGCATTTATATAGCGCATATCCATGCTCAAGAGCATGCTTTATGCGCTTTACAACCATTATTACCCCAGCAGACCCTCTGAGAACACTCAGAAACATTCTCGGCTTCCGCGGAAGCTTACAGTGCAAGCTGCGGATTTCACGCGCTCAAGCACTATCGAACTGACTAGATCGTTCACTGTCTATAGCCGGGTACCCATTTCCACCTGCGTGAAGTGAGGAAAATTTGTGCAAAGTGCCTTTCCCAAGGACTCAACGTCGGGCCCCTGACGGGATTCGAACCCATGACCTTACGGTTGTGAGTCCGAGAGCCTAACCACTAGGCCACCGACGCCATCTAAGACAGCTACTTTTCTCCTCAACAATGGGTGGCAGCCTGAAGCTAAAAATATAGTGAGGCGGGTTTGAAGACAACAAACCGACGGACAAAATGCGGTGTGTGACGAGGTAACTAATAAAACAAAGAGTTGACGGATGGGCCGATTATACCAAGTCCAGCTTGTAGATGTTGTCTTGAGACAGCCTAAATTAATTGTCACACGCAGCTTTCTATCCGTCACAATGGCCGATCCTAGACAGGAAATGAATCATTGCCTCAGCTGGGACAGAAAAAATTAAATCTAAAATGTTAAAAATTGCATCAAATTGCATTTTTAAGGTTAGATTTGAGCTCAGCATACCCAAAAGCCCCTGGAGTGCCATGGATTTGTGATTTTCAACATATTTGTAGGCTTTTTTTTTTTTTCCCCACTATCAGCAAGTTTAGTGAGCACATGTGTATTAAGTAGCTAATGTTGATAGGTGCGTTTGAAAATACTCTTCAAACTTTTGAGTATCATGTAGCAACTTTGTCATGACATTAAGTAATAATATTCACCACATTTGTTTCTTAATCTGTTTATAAAATGAATCAGTACTGAGCAGTGTCTACTGCGCCATTTTTTTTCGCAAATACAACAGCAGTGCCTATCGTTGTTTCCTAGACAGGGCCATTTTATCAAAAGAGGCCAATATACCAGAAGGTGACAGAATAGCGAGTGCAGTATATTAATAATTATGCTTTTGCGTCCTTCTGTTGCCCTCTATTTGCAGACACCAGGTGGGCTGAGCTAGTATATTTTCGGCCTTAGACAGTTTTATGGGCTGTTATTGTCTGCACATTTTGTGAAAGCTAAAACTTTGAGACTGAGGATTCATTGGGGTTTTTTTTTGGGGGGCGGGGGGGCGGTTGCTAAGAGCCAGTAGTTGAATTTATGCATTAGAAAAGTAATTATTGGTTACCTTAATAAAAAATAAGCAGTTTTTGTTAATTGTTGCTTCAGATTGTATACCTGGCACCAACCTAACAGACCTCTCATGTTTTCACAGTGTTTGCTTTATCATGAGTTCAGTCATACAGACTTCCTAACATATGTGTTGTTCTTTTACAACTAGGACTTGCAAGTTGGACCAAGCACTGCACAACCAACTCTATGGAACGTAAAAACAGAAAAGCATGTTCCTAGAGGTGATATTTATAGTTTTTGAGGAATAAATAGGGGAATATATGACAAACATTTAAATAACCTGTTTCTTTGTGATGATTGCGGAGGATTACCTAAGATTATAAGGGGCAATTATGACATCATTAAGAGACTGCATGGTCTTGACTTCACTTATCTTTAAAAACTGTTGTTCTCATAATCATCAGTGCTTGAAATTTTATTGCCAAGATCCCAAAATGTTTTGGCTCCTTACCCAATAAAAGTTTTTGACACTGCTGATTTTATTGAGTTGAGTTATAAGATTTTGAAAATGCTTTCAAAGCATTCAATGAAAAAATTGTGACTGGCTTTCCTCTTCTTTAAATCTGTGTGGCCTAAAACTTTCTTAGCTTTAGATACCCCTCGGGGCAGTGCCACTGACTGAATTGTCTTTAGGCCATTCCCAAGCATAGTAGAATTGTAAATGGGCTGACTCATATCACGCTTATAACTGTGCTTGATCTACAACAGGGAACTGCTGCTTTTTCTTTCCTGATCCTTACTATTGTCATTTTCCTCTACTTCTTTTGTATGTTTCTCTCTCCCTTGTGACCTGCTATTTTGGGTGCCTTGATAGTCGAAGCAGACCTTGTGCTGTTGAAGCTAGAGAGGTGAGCAGTCTAAGTCTGATTCCCTGTAAAGACTTCTCTGTTGACACCCACCCCTTGGCGGTCATATGACCCTATGCAGTTGTGAGCGCCGTAAAACCCTCTACTATGTAAAAAAAAAAAAAAATTAGCTTTAGAGTTTGCTCTACACCAGTGGTTCTTAACCATGTTAGAGATACTAAGTCCCGTAAGTGTAATACGTACATTCACTGAAACTCGCGAGGTAGTCGTGTGTCTTGACATTTGTTTAACCCCTGAGACTGAACTCACCGAACCTCTTGGTTTAGAACCACGGCTTTACACAGTGCCTAGTGGCATTCTTTTAATTAACTAAAACAGTCCTCTAAATGCTGTATGATGAAGGGTCTTCAAAATGGACGGAACCATGAAAGCAATGTTTTGGTTCACTGACCGGGGCCGCTATCTACATTTAGCAAAGTAAACTAATATTTTTTTCTTGACAGAAATTTACAACATACATAGGTAAACTTGGGCTCCCTATGCTTGTAGTGCTCTTCGGCATATATCCAGTACGCGTATACATAAATATGAATGCAGTGGCATATTTTTGTAGCAAATTTGAAGAGTGAAATATTTTGATATTTGTTTGATCCGTGATTCTGTATTTTGCCTCTGTATAGGACTCTGGCTATTTTGACTATGTTTTAATTCTAACTTTTGAACCACTGTTAAAAGTATGATAAAATTCTGTTATTCTGTTCTATCGATTAACAGCTGATGCTCTCCAGTATGCCTCTGAGGATGTTAATAAACAGTTGCAGAAACAAGTCTATGGACCAGACACTGGTGTTTTTGTCAAAAAGGTACTAAAGTTTGATCAGTGTTGTGACAAAACAAGACGATGAAATTCATATAAATGAAGTGTGCCTGAAATTCTGACAACAGTAGGCTACTTGGCAAGATGAGACAATTTTCAAAATTTCTTTCTTTTTTTTTCACCACAAAGCATGATTGATCCCTCTATAAAGGACAGTACCCTAGTAATTGATGCTTTTTTTTTGCGAATTGTGACATAGCCTGACAATGAAATTATTTTCTTAAACCAGTCTCTATCTGAAGAATCGATATCTTGCATTTTGTCTCAAAATGTTCATATTGTTGGATCAAAATATAGTTATTTATTTCTTTTGCTGGAGAATTGTAAAAATATGTCTTTTCTTATAAAAAAGGGGATGTCCCAGTTTTATAATTGATATCTGGATTTAACCATGTACCCGGTGGACTGATATATAGTAGATTGTTCAGATCATTTTCTCAATATGTACAAGTGCTAAGTTAGCGCTAGGGTCAAATTTTAAAAAATTGCGTCAAGCGTCTTCTATATGGACGCAATGTTTGACCATCTGTCATTGATGGAAAGCACACTTCACTGACAAAATAGTTCAACAGCCTAATTTTGGACTTACAAGCCATTTGACCATCCTACCCATACAAAAGCTAAAATTTATCTCTTAACATATCTGTTTTAAATCACCAAACCAATTAAAATTTTAGCGTAAGTGCTCCTTAAATTGTGTGGTTTTTATACTTGTGGAATTCATGCATTCATTTTATTTACTAATAGCCTAATATACCACTCTACTCTATCATTTGAGATTATTCATGTGAACAGTAGTTGCCGTTGGTCTCAATTATTGGAGTGAGAAGGTTTCAGTCTACTTCTAACTTAGTCACACCTCCCTCTATAACTCTTTTGTCATAAATGTGTTTAGTGAATGTCATATCATTTGTGCAAAACACTGGGGGGCTCTGAATGTAATACATTTCCTGAAAATTAAGAGATGATTGCTCGTGCCTCTTACTGTGCATATTCACTGCACCAGGAATGTTTGACCAGTTGAGAGATCTAAGGGTTGAACTAGGGATTTAAGCCCCCGGAAGATGGATTGAGTAAAAATTATGTAGTTTCTGAAGAACCCTTGTCTCTTTGGATAATGTGGCATTTTTGCAACTGGGAACTAAATGACAAAGATTGTATATGTTTGAAAGAAGAACTTTCATTTAAGAATTTTGATGAATTAAAAAAAAAAACCAATATATTTTTTTTCTGCAGCGGAAATCAGGGGAAAGTTGTGCCAGTGGAGTGGTAAGTTGACAACTTATTAACGCTTCAACAGTATTCAATCAAAACTGACAAGGTTGATACGGGACTGTTATGTTTCAAGTTGTATATATTGTACTTTCTTTGTTGACCTACAATTTGTGGTGTTATGACACTCACAGGAAGACAGAAGTGTAAGGCACGTTTGTTGTTCAGTGTTTTTTATTTTGACAGAATATTTGTATCAATACTGTCAATTATTTTGTTAAGTATACTACTGTGATCCTTTGGCACTATGTAATTTTCTCTTAATAACCTATTTGTTCTCACTTCGTCAGGACTTCCCTACCTCAGCCTTTGAGCCAAAAGTACAGCTGCCCACAAACCACAAACCTGGGGAGAGACCCAGGAAAATTGAATTAGAAAGGTACGTCAATATTTTCCTTTCTGACCATTTGATAGACCGAATAAACAGTGTGAACTTATCGTCCCCTTACTTGAGTTTCTTTGGAGGTCAAACTTGTCACAGATGGTTTGAGGGTGGGGGGGCACCTCTGCAATCAGTCTTTACGTCCACTGAAAACTGACCTTAGTCGGCTGGTTTTGGGCATCATGGCATATCATTTTGTGAATATTTTTGGTACAAATTGTAATGTCTACACTATAGGCCTTTTTTCTGGAGTGTTAGTATCTGTATGTATACCTCAATTTTACTTCTCTGAACCTTTATTAACGTAAAATTTGAAAGCATTGCTATAAAAAAATATTTATAGTGTAAAAGTAAAGCTCCGTCAGGTTGTAAATGTTGCTATGTCTTTTCTATCATGCAGCATTGGCTATTGTTGAAACTGTTTTTATATTTTTTGTTGATACCTTTTGCAGGCAACTGGTATCTATGGGCAAGTTGAACGGGACCTGAAGTCTCCGTATTATGATAATACTGTAAAAGTTACCGTGTCCAAATTAGACTTGGACTGGAATTTTTTCGTCAATTTTTTTTCTAGGCATTTTGGGGGGAAAGGGAAAATGTGTGGATTTCCCCCAGTATGATATATATGAATTAATTTTTCTTAAGTACTATCCAACAGTTTGTTTGGGCCCTTCAATCAGACTCACGATATTGGTATATCCTGTGAATGCCTTTCACCTTTACCACTCTTTTTCAGGCTGAGACGTTTATTTGCCCGTCTTGACTTGCCTTTGCTGTTGAAAGAACGAGGTGTCAAGACAGAGCTTCTCATGCCAAAACAACACAAAAATCTCAACATCATATTGATGATGGATCCAAGTGACCCAGCTCCTTTTCCACCATATTTACCCTTGCACATTTTTGACAATATAGAATTTGATTGTCGCACCCCCAAAGATTGGATGAAGCTGGGCGATATGACAATGGCAAGGCATCCAATTCCAAGCCTTTGTCTTTTGCCAGTAAAGGATGAGGATGGTGACAGTAAGTACATGGCTTGTGTCAAAGCGATTCGTTTACCATGAGCTTTTTCAATAACTGTTTACAAATGAATGTTGATGTTTACTTGGACAATTTTTTTGGAAAACTTTGAATTTGTAATTTGAGTGGTAGAGTTATGAATTTGACTGTACTTCACAGGAACCTTCTTGCATACTAATGCCCTATGTCTTTTGTCAACTTTCTGCAAAATCTATTCCTCCTATTTCATTTTTTGGAATTCTTAATTGTGTGACATGCTAGTCCTGTCCCACCATCACTTCTCCTTTCAGTTCTCTCCTCATATTGTACTTCAGCTGTGAAGTTTTCAACATGAAAAAATTGGTTTCCAATTGGGCAACTACATGTAAATAAGCTGAAAGTATAAGGGGGACAACATTTATAAAAAATGCGACTTAATTTTTCTCTCAGAACGGAATAAGCTATAATTTGATGTGAGTTTGGTAAAAGTGACGTTTTAGGTATATTTTTACCCTTCAATCATAATTAGTAAATGTTTTGATTGGGAAGTAAAAAGAACTGTGATAACTTTTTCACTTCTTTTGTATCCACAGAGGATCCTACAGACCCAAGCATTGAATATGACTGGTTTGATGCTGGCGTTCTGGACTATTGTCATAATACAAATCTGTATTTTGTGCAGAGAGTAGATGAGAACTGTCGCATCGTTAACCCAGACGGAGAAACAGTTATAAATGGGTCCATTGACCCAGTCACTGGAAAACGAATAATTCATCGTAATCAGTTTTGGATTGAAAGATGGCGAGTCATGTTCAGAGCTGAGGATCCACGAATTTTTGCTGATCGTGTAGCGTTTGCATACCAGGCTCGCCGTCGGTGCGAAGCAGAACTGCGCTACACTCTGTACATTGATTGCATGCCAATGGATGGCCTTGGAGATCTGAGTCCTGAGAACTTTGCCTCCATTGAGAGAAGAGCTCACAGCACACCAGGACTTGCAAAGTATAAGAAGTATGAAACGAGGTTTTACTTTAGTATGCAATGACTAACATTTATCTTTCTTTCTTTCTTTCTTTTCTGGCAGAGATTACAAATTGGTTTCCCTGATTTTGAAGGGAATCTAAATGTGGTTGTAAAATGGTTCCAAGAGGAATTCATATTTAAAAAAATGTTCACCACAGTCTGTTACATTATTTTCAAGCTGCTATAGTTCCCAGGGCAATGATCAAAAGATATCAAATGTCGTGACAGACCTCACATCTTGTTTTGAAGGTCTAGTTTTTATTTTCTCTGTGTGACATATTATGTCCACCTCATAGATAAGTCCATCATAAGTTAAGTGTTGTTAGGGTGTTAAACCTCTCTTATTTCACATTTTTGACATGTGTGAAAACAATTGAATTAAACATCATTTGCATATTTTATCATGAAGGTAAGTTACCTGACGGTAGGCCCTATATCTTGAATTATTGAAAATGACTTTTTAAAGCATGTTGCAATAATTATTCATTTGAATCACTCGATACTTTGAATCAATTCATGCTTAATGTCCTGCCAACAGTGAAGGAAGAAGGAAATGAAGCAATAGGCAAATAGATACTGCAATGAGTAAGGAAATAGGTATCATATTAGTATGGGAGATGCCTGAAGTCCTTCAACCTACCTCTTTTGTCTTTTTTTAAAAACTGCTAATATAACTTCAGTGTGTTTGTATTGAGTGACTGTCCATATAATATGAATACTTTCTTACAATACTTTTTAAAATTCAGGATAAAAGAAGCCACTGAAAAGGTGAAAAAAGAGATCACCTTAGACTACTGCAGGGTTATGAACAAATTTGTTCTCGACAAAGCTGTGAGTGATGACCCTGCTACCTTTGCATTTGTCACAGTTCCCATTGAGTATGAGAAACCAGCTCCAATGTACTGTGAGTAATTTTAAGCATTTTTTTTTTTCAAAGATATTATACTTTTGACAATAGCATTGCACAACAGCATTTTTAAAACAAATCCAGAAACCATAAACAAATTCCAAAACAACGAAAAACTCATCAAACCAAACCCTTCGGCCTCAGAATCCTTGAGGACCTCAAAAACTTACACTTTTCCAAACAAGACATCCAACAAATTCTTTTCCCCAACCTCCCTCCGTGACACCTCACCAAGGCAAAAGTAGATTTACAGCTGACCACACACAACAAACAAAGCACAAACACCAAAACTTTTAAAGCAGAATACAGAAAACTAATAGATAAATACCCAGGTGCGGAGCTCATCTTCACAGACGGCTCCAAAAAAGACAATGAAGTGGGCGCCGCAGCCCTCTCTTCCAACAGTACTCGCCAGAGGAGACTCCATCCTGAAGCCTCCATTTTCTCTGCGGAGGCCAGTGCCATTGACATGGCACTAGACTCCGTAGAAAATTCTCCTAACAAATCTTTCCTTATCCTTTCTGACTCTCTGTCTTGCATCACCTCACTTACAAACTACACACTCTTACATCCAAAAATAGTTAGGCTACAACAGAAAATTCATACACTCTCCGAAACAGGAAAAAACATCATGTTCGCATGGATACCTAGCCATGTGGGCATCCGAGGAAACGAGCAGGTAGACGACCTGGCGAAGAAAGCTTCATCCGTTCTGCTGGGATCAAGGACAAACACTCTCCCACAGACTGACTTTAGAAATAAAGTCAAAAAGTACACCTCCAGTCTGTGGGAGAGCCACTGGGAAAAGCAGAAAAACAATAAATGAAATAAAACCCAAACTAGAACAGCGAAATCCTTCGGACCTCTCCAGAAGAGACGAAGTCATTTTTACTCGATTGCGCATCGCACACACGGCCCTGACCCACAAATACCTCCTACAAGGAGATGAGATGCCGTTCTGTGTCGGATGCAACACATATTTTACCATTAGACACATCTTAACCGAATGTCTGGACTTTGGAGAGATCCGAAGGAGATACTATAAATGCAAGAAATTGCAAGACATTTTTTCCATCGTTGTTCCCAGCTGAATTTTGAATTGGCCTTTATGGCGAGTTGTAGAGTGAAATTGATACTATTTAAAAATTTTATGTTACTTGAAAAATTGTTTTAGATCGAAAATTTATATATATCTACACTGATTTTTAAACATTTTAACATTTTAAAGGCTGAAAGCTAACCAACCGTGCTGTGAACTTTTGCGAAAGTAAACAACTTGTGTTTCGCGCACTCATGTGACCTTAGCAGTTGCGAGCGCCGTAAAACCCTATACTACTACTACTACTACTACATAGCATTGCGGCAATACCGAAGTCTTATTTCCATAGTAGACCCGCTGTTTTTCCTTGTGGCTTGTATTTACCTCCTCATCACAAGGCGACAGACAATGTCCCTCATGTTTGACAAACATTTGGTCAACTGAGCAACATTTCCTGCTGCCAAGATGGGGCTTCGATCTTTGGAATGTCCCGTAATTTAAACTTATTAAAAGGTATTTGTCTCACGACGTGGTGGAATCAGGCGCTCATCAATTTTTGGGCAAATAGGGTTATTGATATCATCTTAACTCATTCGCTACGCCGAGCCGTGGGGGGCGGCGCGGCTAAAGTGTCGCGTTAAAGCCTGATCATTAACCTTTCTTTTGGTGAAAAAAATATTCATGAATAGAAGTCGAGATATTTGCGATTAAAGTAGGTCAGGGTCGCCTGGTTTATGAGGTAAAATTAGCGAGAAAATGGCTGCCAAAGTTTGGTAACTTCCATAGCCTGAGAGTCTTTTGAAATGAAAATTTACTTTTTTTGTGCCTTTAATCAATGTTTTTCAATAAAATCCACACAGAAATGTGTTTTTGAATGGACATAAATGTGTTGAGCCAAAAAAAGAAAATTGCCCATCTGCCCCCCAAAATGCCGATTTCTTTGATTTCATTATTTTGACGAGTGCCTGATTTCACCCCGATGCCTCACATTTTGATTATGTTGAATCTCAAAGAAAGCGTTCTTTGATTGTTGTCTTTGATTATTCAGACTTAAAGAGGGTAAAAGATTTGTTGTTGGTGTCCGAATTTTAAAGTGTATTCGCCAAATTTGGTCAAGCACCTGCTTTGAATTTAAAAAATGTAATTTCTTTCTTGTTATCTCCCAGAACTGCTGAAACTTGTTGTAGAATGTTCTTTTTATGTATTATAGTATCAACAATTATAATTAGGGTTGTTAATAACATAATTTTTTTTTTTTAAATTCTTGACCTAATTTGGCGGATATGCACTTAGAGTCACACATCGATGATACACAAATTCCCTTTTCACTTAATTGGAAAGATTGTCCATGTGGCCCAGAGCCAGAGACGATGGGTTTTTGGACAGAGTTTTCTTTATCAGTTGTTAGTTTCTTTGTTTGTTTGTTTGATCTTTGATGACATGTACTTGTTCACAATGCCATGGCCTGCTTGATCAACTGCATCAGGCCACAGACCTTTGACTAGTCTTCCAATGTACAGCCTCTTTCCCGTTCCCCATTCGAAAGCACATTACACATAATTTGACTGTTGCACAATAAGCTGCAGAAAATATAGAGTGATTTTTTTTTCTTCCACATTTGTTCTTTGATTCTTTTGCAGCAAAGTGTCCAGATGTTCCAGCATATCCCTACCAAAGTCAGAGTGACAGTTTTTCGTACTCGTCAATCTACACGATGGCAGAAAGCATTGAGGCAATGGTCCTTGTGAGGACTGAATGCAACAATGTGGCCAACATGAGTTTGTTAAACTTCAAAGTCACCAAACTTTTTAAAATTCAAGACTTCGGATACTTGCAAACTCAGGCAACAGTGGTGGTAAGGGTAGTCTGTTAAAACATGTTTCTGTGCTTTTTTCTTCTTTTTTTCCCCTCCTTTTTTAGAAAAAAATTTGGAACTATCTCACTCTCGATTGCCCATTCAGTTACAATATTTTATGATGATTGTTCATTTTTAATGAGCAAATCTTTTCACAGTATGTATGCTGTGTTGCCAATATTGTTCAAATGAAATTGATTTCCCTCCAATGTTTTTAGGTCATATGATCATTACACACAAAATAAAGTCGAGGAAAACAACTCTGAGATTTTATGTTCAATGTATAGGAAACCTTTCTTTGGGCATCCGTATTTCTGCTCCTTGAAATTTTGACAGGGTACTTATTTTACAATTTTGCCACTTAGGGTTATATGTCTTTGCAAAACCTAAATTGTAGGTTAAAAGTTGTTATTAAATTATATGTGGAGACTTTTTTTGTGTGATTATTGTCTTTAACTTTGATTTTTTTATGAGTCATTTTTAAGAATTTGCTTCTGTAAGTCTGATAACTTTATGAAAGTCAATAATTATATGCATGTTTTACAGAGAATGTAAATTATACACTACTGTATGAGGTGCAATAATTATTAGACTTGATGAGACATATAGATGTTTGTTTGGAAATGCAACTGCTGCCTTATTCTTTTTCTGCAGACAGGCAATTATCTGAAAGAGAACTGGTTGAATAAATTGAAGAGTGCCATACGCAAGTCCTTCATATCTGTCAGGAAAGGCTGGTTCAACATTTATGAAGATAACTGGGCCCTTTACCAGATATCAAAGCTCAAAAAGTTCATTGAAACAGTCAAGTTCATGATGCAGGTAATGTCCGATAGCCGTTATTTATTATTTTAATCATGTCATTATTATTACTCCTACGACGATGATAATGTTGATGATGATATAATTTTAAGTAATATTTTTTTTTTGGTATTGGGAACTAGAGATTAAAAAAAAAAATCCTACCAATAAGAAAATTTTTTAATTCTTGGAAAGTGAATCTTTAGGGTTTTACCTTGTCTTTTTTTACACTCACCTTCAAGGTATAGATTATACCATATGCAGTTATTGATGCAATTTACTGTCCATTGTGAATTTAATTAAAGTTGGACCCTTTTGATAACTGCTCTCCCAGTATTGTTTACCTGGAACAATGTTTGTACTTCTTTATGCGACTGAATTTTGTGACTTGTCACTTCCCTCCGCTCTTCGTGGATCAGTATTGGTATAGGCTCTTTGTTGCTGAAAAGAAACATGTAAATTAGATTTCTATGAGCCTCTAGGCCTACCATCTGCAGGAATAAGGTATCCCACTCGGAGCCAGCATTGGTCCTTACAGAGAGAGCCAAAGCTGCCAGCCTCATCAATGTTCAAAGTTGTATCAATGGGGGTGTAAAATATGTATCAAGTTTTTTTTTTGGTACTTATCTCTCCTCCTTTGAGAAATAGTAAAAATGATTCACTTGCGTCAAAAGTATTTTCTTGCAGATAGTAGGTACCAATAACTATAATTCTTTGATTGTGCCAAAATAACATCCAATTAAAAAGCTTGAAATAAATGATTTTTTCAACTGCAGTAGTCAGCATGCTTCTTTTATCGTTTCTGTTGTGCTTTATTTCTCTCATTAAATTATTTTTCTTCCAATAGAACATTTATCAAGTTCCCTGAAAGACAAATGAATTCGTCATACAGTTATCATTTTGAGCTTGTCTAATTTATATTACTTTGTGCGTTACTTAAATTCTGACCCCATTATCTGCTTCTCTTAATAGAAAAGCTGTCTCAAAACGTCGAAAGAAAGCTTTGCTGATAAATAAGAAGGAAATGTGCTCTTCATATGAATTCTTTAATAAGCTGCCATTTGTCACTGTATGTTTAAAAAAGAATATTTTTTTTTTTAAGTCTCCAGAAGATTTGAGGGGGACTATGGCTTTTATTTCTGTCTGACTTCTAGACTTGAACTTTGTTCCTTATGGCTTGGTGTTTTTTGTTTACAGTGTTTATGGGACTCTGATGTAGTTTGCTCCTGCTTTTTCTTTTCGCTGTGACAGCTTTTAAAAATTTTTTCCCTGTGAAACGTGTGACTAGTATCGTACTGTCTCATAAACAGCAACTTGTCTTCTTTCCACCCCGATGAGGTATGAGTCACGAAAGCCAGTATTTAGTGTGCTATGAAAATGATAGCTACTAGACCGCTCTTTCACTTTTTAAAAAGAGTTATGAAAATCCAAATCTTTTTCTTGTTAAACGTTGATATTATTTTGCCAACTTTCTGTAAACTATAGCGTGTCTCATTTTGTTTTGTTTTTTTCTCATGATGTTTCCAGGATACCTTGCGTTTTCTTGTGGTGGACTCATTGACCAACTTTGTGCAGATGATTGTCGACACATGCTACACCACTATGAATGTCAGGCCTACTTTCAAATGGCCAAAGAGCTTCATTCAAAGCCCTTTCTTGTAAGGGTCATAGTAACTTTTATATGTACGAGTACATTCTAAAGCCAGTTATCTATTTAAATTTCTCATCATAGGAATATGGTATTAGTCCCCAATTAGAATATGTTTGTAATGTGGATGAACACTATTGTTTCAGAGAATTATTATGTGTGAGTCTATTGAAATAAGGATACTGTCTCATGTTGCCAACTATGAATAATTGTTTTGTATCTGACTGTAAGAAATTTTAATTGTGGATGTTGTTGTCATTCTACAAAAACTTCATTAGCGGACACCCTTTAAGCTAGCTCGCCACAGCATCCCCCTTACAATACCTGTCAATGATACCCCTACTTTAAAAACATTTGTGTTCAAAAACTTTCTGCATTAGTTTATTCAAAAGCATAACAACGACTCTGAATGTGTATCTTATGAATATATGTAATAGTTTGAATGTTATTCTTATTATTTTTCAATATCCATTCTGCCAGGCCCAGAAAAAATCCAATATTCCAGCTTGACCTGCTCCTTGATGACACATCTCACTACAGTGCAGATCCAGAGATTTTCAGCGAAACACTTTTGACCTTGTTCAACAATGCCATCAATGCCTCATGGAATATTCCACAGCTAGAAAAGGTTAGAACATTTTATGAGTGCTCTTTGTGTTGTTTTTTTTGTTGTTTTGCTTTCTTGTGGCTCTTTTTTTGTGATTCCATACTATTGTTGTCTTTGATTAGTATAGTTAGAATTATATTATTGGCGGGTGCTCTGGTGTGGTTTGCTCCTTCTTTCCTATCAAACATCTATCGTCCTTATCTCTCCTTCTTCTTTTTTATGTTTGTTACTCTCTTGTAACACCTCTAATCTTCTGGTGCTCATATGACCATATACAGTTGTGAGCGCCGTAAAACCTCTACTAAAACATAAAACAAAAGAATTATTATTGTCAGTGAGCTTTAAAAGGGTGGTTGGAGGGCACCACTGGAGGTACTACTTTTTTTGCTCTCTGTTTTTTTTCTTCGTCTGTCTTTCTTTTTTCCCTGTGCTAAATGACCACTATCATTTCGATGTGCTGCTTTGTACTCAAACAAACAGACAGACAAACAATGAGCTTTAACGCCCTAACTGTATTGCAATTTATTTAGAATTTGAAGGGATTACAAGTGAGATACAACATTTAAATATTATGTAAATGTAATACTTTGCTTTGATCTCTGCTGCAATTTTGCTGAAAAGAAAGAAAAAAAAGGAAAGAAAAGAAAAGGTTTATAAGTTTGTTTTTTCCCAGAAGCTGGACCTAAGTGTGTAAGCTGACACATTTCCATCTATGCCTAGGAAGCCTGAAATAATTAGTTTTGACTTGCTGGATCTGAACAACCCTTTTAAACATTTAGTTTCTACAACTGTGATGTGTTCTAAAAAGAAAAGGGTCATATGTGTACCTTCCCCTATATACAGTTTGCTTTTAATATCAACCGGGCCGAATCTATTCTTTCTTCTGGTGCATGTATAAATTTTATTCCACTGAATGAGTTCATAAACTGCATCCTTTCCTGCTCAAATGTTTACAAATTGATGTAAATTCTGTCTTTGATGAGGCAGTTACAGGTAGTGATATTGAATGCTGGAGAGGTGTTTGGTAGGGAAAGAGGTGCACCAAGGTAGACTGCATGTGGAAAAGGGCAAATCTCTTTGTTTCAAGTTTGATATCGAGAGGGTCATTCTTCTTTTCTTAATTACAGTCCATCATGCAAGACATCTTCTGGTCGGAGACACCTCTATTGGAAGCGATTCACCAAAATGAGACACAAATGCGGGAACTGAGGGACACCTTGCAACATGCCATTGAATCTTCCTTCATCCCCCTGAAGGCCTATGCACTCAAGTTTGAGATATTCCTGGACCTCGTCAACCTTGAAATCAGGGATTTCATTGCGTAGGCATTTCTTGTATTTCTTTTTCTTTTTTTCTTTTTTAGAGAATATGAAATTGTTAAAACTGAAGTTTTGTTTCAAATAAATTTGCATTTTGTGTGGATATCATGAGTGCAAGTTAAAGGTTTAAAGGTTTTTCTACTTGGAGTAACTATATAGGGAGAGGCCCTAACGTTGCGTCGCCCGCTCAACAGTTCCAACCAAGTTGAAGCAGAAAGGGCGGAGCTTATCGGGGCTGCCGCCATCTTTGTAAGTTCAAAACAATGCAGCGTACGCTGCGTAATCTCCTTTCAAAACAAGCTGCTCGGACTCCATTGTCTCTCAAAATTTCTTTGTCAATGTTAATTACAGCATTATAAGCACTCATGTACAGTTGTAATAAGGATGTTAACAAATCTTACTTGCATCAAATTACCAGCTCATTTAGTCGAATATTTACAGTAATACGTGTACTATGTATACACATTGTGATGGTAAGATATTCTGTTTTACATGTTTTAGAGACGAAATTGGGATAATAAGGATCAAAACAAAATTATAAACGGGATGATAACATTTGCTGAGTTTTTGGTAGTAAAACTTCATTATTTTTACAAAAACGAAGACTTCTTGATAGTAACAATATAATAAGGACAGTAAGAAATCTTACTTGCATCAAATTACCAGCTCACTCAGTCGAACATTTGGTAATACATGTACTATGTATACACATTGTGACGGTAAGATAATTTTTTTTACTTGTTTTAGAGAAGAAATTGGGATAATAAGGATCAAAACAAAAATATAAACGGGATAACAAAATTTGCAGACTTTTCGGTCATAGAACTTCATCAGTGCAAAATGATGTCATCACTGACATTATTTTTACAAAAACGTAGTCTTCTTGACTTAAACTTACAACAGAATATATTTCTAACAAAATTGAAAATGATTACACAAAAGATGGTAGTGAGGGTGTGATGGGATGGGCGAAGAATGAGGAAGGAGAGGGCAAGGCAGATAAGAGTGAAGTATGATGGAGGAAATTACCCCCTCCCCCCCCCACACACACACACAAAAAAAACCCCCCACAAGAATAAAACAGCCCCCCCCCCCCAAATAAAGCGAGGAGGGAGGGGCACCTTTAAAACACCAAGACACTTTATCGAAATTTTACAAAATACTGTTAAGTGTATTGAAAAATTAATAGAGAATTTGAAATGATAGGCTTATAATAATAAGATTTTCAAAACAGATTGCACTAATTTATGACATTTCACTCTTGACAATGTCACACCCCATGCACAGACAGACGACACATGGCATCAAAAATGTTATTCACACACCAAACACACTTCAATGACATTCTTTGAAGGCACTGTCGAACCTCCGACGAGACTTCAAAAAACAGCAAGGAAGTTACTTTTGACACATTGGAGTCAACAAAGGCACCGATGCAGGTTTCACATTTTCAAATGCTTTGTCAACCTTAACAACACAAAACCAGCAATGTAAGCAACATGCAGAGCAAATTGACAAGTATGCTAGAGTAGATCTAGGCTCATACGTGCAGTTATCATCATGGCAAACTGAATTTTCTGAAATCTTTTTTCTTTCTGTTTTTACTGTGAGATGCATTTACGGCTAAATCAGACGGCACTTCGTCATCAAGTTCAGTGCCATTGCTAGAGACTGATATTTTTTAAAACATTTGGTAGGAAATTTTGAATTTTGCCTGGGTGGCGACCGAAGCCTACTCTTATCGATTTTAGACCACCAAGGGACCTTTAATTTGCGCAATTTGCATACGCGACCTCCGAGATTTTTTCGCCCTTGTCCGAGAAGGCTAGGGGTAGATCTGAAAGACAGAGGTAAGAAGGAGCCAAGGAGTAGCAGTAGAAAGGCTGCAGAAAGAGTCCGGGGCCCTGAGGAGGTAGGGGCAGAAAGTGGAGGTGAAAGCAGACGAAAGAGAAAGTAGAATTTTAGAGAACAAAATGTTTCCGTCACTACTCGGATTCGAACCCAGGACCTTTGAATGAGAGGCCCACCGGACCCGAACGCTACGCAAACTGCCATTCGGTTGACACTAAGTTTACAACTGAGAGAACTGAGCTGATCTCACAAACATGGCCGACCGTCGTCTGCAGCGGCTTCACGTTATGCGACTCGCGGCCTCTCCTATTAATAGTTCCTCCAAGGTTTTTCTAAGTGCTGAATTTTTTATTTTTAAAATTAACATGAATGAATTCAATACTTTATTAAAAATGTTTGATTAAATGAAAATGCCAGTATTTACTGTGACTTGTTTGAAATGAAATGTAATTTTCTGTCTAGCAGAGTGATTTGTTAGTCAGTCTCTTTGGCTTGGCTATTTATTCATGCTTAAATGAGTTTGTAGTCTCTGTTATGGACAGCATAACATCTTAGCTGTACTTTAGTAAATAGTTGTTTTTTTAAATATCACCATCAACTTTGTGTTGTATCTTGTTCTTCACAATATCTGTGTTTGTCCTGTATGCCCATCTACATTTGTTTATGTCTCTATCTAGGCTTTTGTTTTTTTCATCTGTTGCTTCTTTATGTGTCTCATCACACAGGAAAAACAAGACAGCTGTATCAGTGCCAGTAGAGAAATTGTTTTCATAATGCTTTCCTGACACAAAAAGGCAAAGATATTTCTGAGCTAAAGCTATTATGCCTTGCTCAAGGGAAAAACCACAGTAGCGACTTTCCAAAATGCAGCTATATCCCTCCCCTATTGAAAACCTATTGTCATTCACTTGTGTTCACTAACTACCTGACCACTGGGCCTTTAGTAATGGTGATGGTCAAATATACTTCCATGGTTTTAAAGGTAAGTTTCTCATATTGTTCAGTGAGTACGAAGCTGAGAACCACACGGCACAGCAGATGGCAGAGACAGCACAGCAACATTTGGACAAAGCAGATTGGATACTGGAAATATTGCCCTACAACATCTTGATCGGGCCTTTCAACATCCTTGTAGATGGGGTCAGGGATCAGCTGATAGCTAAACATAGAGATCTGGCCATGTCAGTGTTAGCTCTTCTTGCAAGAATTCTTCGAAGGAAGGCCGACGAAGTAAGTAATATGTTTTCGATTCTGTTTTTTGCTTTTGCTGCTTTGGTTGTTGGTATAGTGTTGATATTGAGCCAGCTTTGAAACTTTGGTAGCAATATTTCAATAAATTTAATGGGATTCGAAACAATATGATCAAGAACTGGGGGGGGGTGATTTGTTTTGTAGTGGCAGCATCTTTCAAAATATTGATTTGCATAGTCTCTTCTTGGTAATAACAAGACTTAATGGCTTCCATTGACTGAAAATGTTTTAATCTCCACTTTATGTTGTTCTTATAGTATGTCTAGACTTTATGATGATGAAGTTTTGAAAAGATCTGGAGTTGAGAGCATTTTTTAGCTTTTCTATGTTTTTGTGGCTCTCAAGAGGGAACTATACTATCCTGTACTTTGCTGTTGACCTTAACACCTTCACTTCAATTTGCCATATTAATGTTTTTTTGAGTTATAGTATAAAAAAGTCACTGTGACTCTCACAATATTTATTTTTATGAATGTCTGTCTGACTGTTCATCTTTCTGTCTTTTCTCCATATTAGGCAATCTTTTCTCTATAATAATATCTAATATTGGATGAAACGAACAATTAAATGTCCTAAGAGGTAAGAATGGTCAATTTTTATAGGGGTTTGTTATAATCCTTTGTGATGACACTCTTACAATGTGTTGTCGAAATTTGTTGTTGTACACATTTTTGGCCTGTGCAAACACAATTATGATCATATAAGAGGTATGCTGCTTTGATCCTGCCCGTTCAGTGCCAAACTTGGACCGTATGGGGTACATCTCAGTAGAAAAGAAAAAGATACACGTAAAAATATCTACCACACTTAAGAATTAATCTCATCTATGTCTTTTTTCGGCCAGCCTTTAAACTACATATGCTGATAAGGACAATTTGTGAGGCTGAAGGGATGAAAGTATCATTTTATACTGTGGAAAGTTCAAGGCTTGTGCAGTTATTAGTTTGTTGCTTTTCTTCTAGCTGAAGCATTTTTCAATGTACTTTATGGACTTCTGCATGCAAAATACATTTGAGTCTTTTCAGTACAGTACATTATATTTGCTGTTTCACTCTTTATGTAAATTAAATGCACATGGCCAAGCATAACCACCATCTGTGATTCGGATTACATATGTTTTGTAGATGTCTGGAGATTTCAAAGGAATGGTCAACAGAATTACTGACATACCCAACTGCATTGAAGAACTGTTTGCCCTCAGAGACTGGATTAATGAAGTTCCGCAGAAATTGGATGTAGCGAGGGTGAGAATATTTTGCTGCTGCGCCTTTTTTTCCCCATTGGCATGACAGGATTTCTTTTTTAACTGTGCCTTTTACATTTTTCATTAATATAGATCAGATTGTCTTGATGGATATTTGTTTACCAATATATGAGTGCGTTGGTGTGATGAAAAGAGATTACTCTGTGTATTAATAAGAGTAGGCCTACAGTGTGTTTATGAACATTTACAGGTGGAGAGATTGCAAGAAAACATTTTAAAAAGATGTTCAATTTACGTGTCAAGTCACTGTTGCTTAAATATTTATTTCCGAGGGGGGTAAGAAATCTAAAAATGATGTATACATCTTCAAGTTGGTCATTAAATCAAAACAAAGGAACCTATCTTGATAGTTCTTTATCTAAATGTATGAAATCCCGATAAAAGAAACCTGTTGTCTCTTTTTATCCTGGCCGTACCCCCGCGGACTCTGTACCTGTCCTGGGGCTGCTGCGCCGTGTGAGTTGGAATTCAGGGTGTATATTTCAAAGTGCTCTATTTCTTATGTTTACTCTTAGGTTTTAAGGAAATTGGCAGTTATGTTAGAAATTGTATGTAGTTTTTGTAAATGTTTGTGGATAGGAATTACACAAATTGCAGAATGTAGATTTTGAGGTGTATTCCACCCTCCAACTTGACCCTGATTGCCGCACACACGACGTCCCATTGGATTTTATAGATCTAGCCCTACCCATCAATACAGCATGAATTCCAGTACTGATCCCTTCACCATGATCTGAATCGCTATTAGATGAGTCTAAGTCCTGTTTGTTATCATCCACAACGGAATTTATGGCACTTAATACAGAGTCACTTTCATCAAATTAGTCTTTTTCCCCCTCACAACCCAGGGCTACTTCAAAAAGTAATTTGTCGTGAACGAGAGTTTTCTAGACATCTTTCGAGTTTCTACACCCATCAAAAACAAAGAAACCATTGTTCATTGGAAAATTTAAATATTCAGACAGAGCTAGCATTGCCGTATTTGCGTATTTTGGTAATTACAAGCAGAACTGGCTTCTTTGACATGACCGTATAGCTGTTCCGAGTATGCTCGTAGCCGGGACTGGTCCTCGTTATGAGTATACTCATAGCCCAGATAAAAAGAGTTGAATCCACCTTTGCCGAAAAGTAATTAAACGTCAAAGTTTCCGTAGAGGAATGAGCCCAGGCATCTGGCAGCAGTTCATCAGTACATTGGTTTTGACCGCAAGCAGCTTGCAAGAGATGAGGAGTTGAAATAATTACCAAGGGATTCATTTTCCATACTGGGTACAATATATCATTGATATTTGTATGCTGTGTCGCATTGACTAATTGTAGATATAGGCCGATATGATACATACATCAGACATGAACAAGTAGTCTGCTGTAAAAAAGAAATTGCAAATGTCTACTTGGATCTGAGTTGATTTTTAAAAAGTTTAATAAAAGTTGACTATTTTGTTTCAACTGAAACTTTTCTTACATACGCCTCTCTATGCTTTTTCAGGAAGAAATGGCCATTGTTCTGCAAAACTATGAAGTCCTTGATGCATTCAATTACAATCTGGCTGATGAGGATTTTACTGCCAAGTAAGTTTCTTGCAATATCAATCTCAAATATAGGCAATGAATCGCATACTCTCTTTGTATATGGTAGTCTGTTTATTGTAAGTTTACCGGCTTGGATTTGAGGTGGGGGAGGGCATTTGTGTATTATTATTGTCTTTTACAGAGCTGTTGTTCAGTCTAAATAACCCTTTTCATGTTGATGTGTTTCTCTTTATTTAACTTTTTGTCTGTGGGGCCTTATATTGGTATGAAATCTAAAATGGACATATGTGTCACTAATAAACAGGTCATTAGATTTGTAAAAAGTGAACTTTTTTTCTATAGTTCTTCCTTATATGAAAAATGAATGGTCTTCAATTTGATGTCGAAGTTGTCGTAAAGGAATGCGACCAAGCCGCTGCCAGTGGCTCACTAGCACAGAGGTTGGGAGATAAAGAGTTAATCTAGATCACTTATACATCCTGTCAAAGTGTATTTGTGAAGGATCACTTCTAATGGTCTGTTTCTATGCAGGATAACCATGATTGGATGGCCACTGAAGATTGAGGAGATGTGTGAGAAAAAGCTAGAGGATCTTGTAGAGGATGAAGATCGCTATTTCAAACAGCTGGACTCTGATTCCATACAGTTGGCAGAGCGGTTAGAGAACAACCAGGTGAGTAGTTGTCAAAATGTACCTCTTTTGTGCTCATCGTGAGCTCTGGCTCATGGATCAACTTATTTCAGGCTTCACAGTTGTGCCAGACCGGTATGAGGCTGGTTGGAGGTGGTGTTGGAAGAGGCCAGTTAACTAACTTGTCTTGTCCGTTAAAATACGTGTTATAATCTAATGTCAAAATGAAGACAAAAGATTTAAGTACAAAATTATAGTGTCATAAACAAAAGATGCACAGAATGAGTCTCCATTGATTTGCACAATCATGACAACAGATATCAATGATATCATGTAGATTGGCATGGAAGGAGTTAGAATATTCAGTATCTTATTCTTGTAAATTAAATGGGTTCTTGCCTGTCCCGGTAGTTACAGATTTTGGACTTGTTCTACTACCATACTGATAAAGGTGTTAAAACTACCAGATTTACAGCATAAAATTCGAGTTACTCATTGAAAATTCTCCCCAATTGGAAATTGAACTCGGGTCTCGTGCATGTGATGGTGATCGCACCTTACCTGTACACCACAAACTACAGTTCTGTACAACCTGCAGTGCTTGAACTTTTGCTGAAAGAAAAATCTGATTACTAATTTAGTTTGATGAGAAAGAGTTTTAAATGAGAAGGTGTAATGAGAAGATAGAAAAAATAAATGCTGATCGCCATTCCTTAACTTTAACTAGTTCAGATGGTACAATATGCTGTATCTCAATACAGTTTGGAAATGTTTTTTCCAAGATTTGTGACTCTATGGATTTCATGTTTCTAGTTTTAATTAGAGAAAAAAAGTTAAAAAGTGAGATAACTAATGTGATTCACTTGCAGTAATTTAAAGGTACAATCAGTTAAAGTAATTTTTAAAAAATGCGTTTCCCCCTTAGATTCAAATTGCTGCAATGGCAGAACACAGTGATATGGAAAAGGCTCCTGAATATGCCAATGAAATGAGGAGAATGTACAAGAACCTGAGAGAGTGTCAGGACCTGGCTCAACTCTACAACAGCCGAGAGAGACTGTTCAAGCTAAAGCCTACCAATGTAAATTTATTGTTCAATATGACTTTTTAAAGATACATACTCATTTGCTGAAAAATGTCATCAGTGTTGAGCAAGCTCTATATTCTTCAATATTCTTTAACAGTTCCAAATAAATGGATTATGAATTTAAAAGGATTGATTACTAAGGTATTGTATTTTCAATGTTGCAGAACCGTTCTTAATTACTTTAATTTTAGTAGGAGCACAAGATAGTTAAAAGCCATTTTGAAGAAAGCGCAGCTAGTTAGATGAGAGCAATTTGTAATAAGTTACAATACGAATGCTTAATCTTTCAATCAGGAGAGTAATGTAATAGTACCTAATGTTCTAATTTATATTTGACATTGGACTCTACTCGTGAATGCGATATTATGATGTCTTTTTTATGCTCAATGTTTGTTTTTAGTACTCCAAAATTGGAAAAATCACAAAGGAATTTGACCCCTTCCGAAAACTGTGGATCACAACATCAGACTGGTTGCGGTGGCAAGAAAGTTGGTTGACAGATCCTCTTCAAGCCATTAACGCTGAGGAGGTGGAGCGATGTGTCAATGAGTCATTCAAGACTATGCAGAAATCAGTGAGATTTTTCAGCACAATTCCAGGTGAGTCCCCTTTAACACCGTTAGCTTCATGTCTATGGCCTACGTTGGCCATCTTGTCCAGGTTTTATGTCTAGTTTACAAACTCTTGGGAGCCTGCAGTGTGATGCTAGAATCATATTGTACACATATTGAAAATGAAATCTATTCTAAAGACAGCTGTTGGCAGTATGACCTGTGACAAAAATTTAACTTTTTTCTTTGTTAATATAGGCGAGTTAAAATGTTTGCCTTCTCCTTCTGCCATGTGTTTTTTTGTATGCTTATATCTCAGCTGTGCAGGAGGTGGCAATGAATATCAAATCAAATATTGAACAATTCAAGCCGTATGTTCCGCTTATTCAAGCTTTGACCAACCCAGGACTGCGCCAAAGGCACTGGGATCAGGTAACATTCTGTTGTTTATTTGTACAGTGGTTTAGTATGCCATTTCCAATGCCATTTGATCTTGTTCGCTTTTAGAGATCAGCAACTTTGGAAAATCAGAAAGGAAGAGGTTGATGTCGTTGTGTGTGTTGATTAGACAGTGATCTCATTCATAATAGGTTGAAGAAATGTTGGTGGAAATTGTGAATGTAAATTTTAAGAAAACTGAAAAATGTACTTATTATGAACTTTTAAAAAGATTTCTTTATGAACTTATTATTAACAATAATGTTTTTCCTTTTGTTCTTTTTGTCTTATTTTTGTGTAATTCTTAATTATATCTATGGATATCTTTAATTACTTTACTGTTCATTTTTGTTGCTCTTAGAAGAAAGTTATAACTTATACTTGCCTTTTTCTTTGGCCATTTTCTGCTTACTACTTCTTTCTATTTCTTTAAATGGTAGTTAGATATATTATGGTTGAATTCATCTTTTAATTACTGTGCACTTAGTGTTTTTTGTGTCAGGACAGGGTGGAATCAGGCACCCGTCAATTTTTTGGGCAGGAGGAGTAATTGATATCATCTGAAAGCTTATTCATTTGTCTTGCTTTCGATAACCCCCCACCCCCCCATCCCCAATCTATCTTGAATAAATGTCAAGATATTTGCAATTAAAGGAGGTAGGGGTCGCCTGATTTCAGAGATAAAATCAGGGAAAAAATGGTCACCAAAGTTTGATAACTTCAGTAGCTTGAGAGTCCTTAAAAACTGAAAATGTACACATTTGTACCTTTAATCGACAATTTTCAGTAAAATTCATATGGAAATGTGTATTTATATGAACATAAAAGGTGATGGGCCACATACTAAAATTTCGAAAGAAATTGCGAAACTGGCAAAAAAAGTGCCTGTTTTTTTTTATTTCACTATTTTGACGAGCGCCTGATTTCACCACGATGCCTCACATTTTCTTTCTTTATTTTTTGGATCTTGCTCTTTCGTTTTACAAACTCATTGTTGTCGAAAAGTCCCTTCTAGTAGGAAATGTTCATTCTTTTGATGGTTATTCTATTCTTTGTTTCGGACAGCTTTCAGATGAAGTTGGTTTCAAGCTTCAGCCATCACCGACGCTGACCTTTTCAAAGTGCCTGGAACTGAAGCTGAATGATCATATCGAACCCATATCTCGAGTGTCTGAAGTGGCAGCAAAGGAGTATGCCATTGAGAAGGTCAGTGCATTGTTTATGCTCAGTTAAATGCTCTTGCTTCTGTAGGCTGTATCTCTTGGAGATTAGCCTTGTATGTGTTTTCGTTACCTTAACATGGTGTCTGTCTTCCTGAACACTGGAAAAATGGAAGGCAGTGACAGTCTGGGGCTCATTGGCCTAATCCATTGATTTGATACAGTTATATATATTAAAGTCATAATCAAAGCTTTTAGTGTTTTCAGCAGCAAATTAGTTTTGTTGTCATTAGTAAGCTCAGTAGAGAGAATTTAACTAGAAATCATTAACATTTAAACTTTTGTCGCTAAAAAGTCGTCAAAAAGCACGGATGGCAGTGTATGTATCATTGTACTCTACATACTTTTTTTAGGGAGTGAAGACTCTTGTATACAAAGAGCAGAAGCATATATTGTTCTTTTATATAATTGTGAATAGATTTCTGAGAACGCTGTTCCCTTAGAGAGGGAACCAACATTCAGTATAAAATCATTCGTAATGCGGAGATTATAATTGGAACTTGTCCCAAATTTTTTCCTCAAATGTTAATTTCTGAGCCTTCTCCTTTGTTCCTCTTCTCTCTTTTCTTTCACTTCTAATTCTGTTACTTTCTAATAATACATTTGTAGTTTTTGCTAAAGACAGTCTGACTTTGACTCTATTGCTTCAAGGCTCTCAATAAAATGGAGTCAGACTGGGAGAATGTGGAGTTTGAAGTGCATCCCTACAAGAACACAGGCACCTACATGCTCAAGTCTTCAGATGAGATTTCCCAACAGTTAGATGACCATATTGTCATGACTCAGTCCATGGCTTTCTCTCCGTTCAAAAAGCAATTTGAGGAGCGCATTGCTAACTGGGAGCGTACACTTCAATTAACACAGGTGAATCCTCACTCCCTCCCTCTCCCCTTCTCCACCTCTCTCTCTCTCTCTCTTGCTCTCTCTCCTTCAAACACACTTCTAGTATGGGTGATTGATGGGTGCTTTGGTTTAGTCTGCCCCCCACCCCCCCCCCTACTTCTTTTCAATGTTTCTGCTGACCTTATGGATTCTAGTGGAATGTAATCTTTATTCCATTGAGCAGCCCATCATAAAGTGAGGGATTAGGTTTCGCCAACCCCTGTGTCTCCCCAGGAGAAACTGTATTGACCTGTAGAAAAGCTTCAAAGACTATCAAATTTATAGTTGAGGCTAGTCTCTTAAAGTGTTTGGATATATGAAAAGAAGAATGTAGACAAGCAGCTCACTGAATTTGATCTTCTTTGTGTAAATGTCTTTTGAGGTACAATGTAAGAAGCAAACATAGTTATTTTGTCTCGTTTGTCCTCAAGGTCTAGACATTAGCTTTAAAACCCAGAATTGTTTAGAGATGATTATCTCATTGAAATTAATTTTGTAGAAGGAATTTTCGCACCTTCTATGTAAATCCAAATGAATAGTATACTGTTGATTTGATCTGTTTGCACTATTATTTAGTCTCTGGCTATGATGTATCAGAGGCAAAGTGCAGATGGTTGGAACATTGTGCAGTATTGATAAATATGTCCTGTATTTCTCCCTTTATTTACCGTGTTGTTGTTTTTGTCTTTAAAACTATTATATGCTTTTGATAAAGTTTTTCCTTTTTGTTTATCGTAGATGGTTTTGTGTTTCAGGATACACTTGAAGAGTGGATAAATGTACAGCGGGCCTGGTTGTACTTGGAACCTATATTTAGCTCTGATGACATCACCAAGCAGTTACCAACAGAGAGTAAACGGTACAACACCATGGAGAGAATCTGGAGAAAAGTCATGAGAATGGCAAAAGGAGAACCGCATGTATGCTGTTTGACAATTCTTTGGTTTTATTATGTTTTTTTTTTTAGTATTTGCCATTAATTAATTATGAAGATCATATGCATAACTATCTTGAATTGAGAAATGATTTTTCACACTTGTATCCTTTACTTTATTTCTTCTATATTTTAACACTAAGTAAGCTGATTTCCAATTTTCAGTAGATTTACCTGTATTTTTTTAAATACACAAATTTTTTATTGAGAAATTGCAATTTTGAGCTATTCTTTTTTTTTCTGTTTAGGTTGCCAAATTGTTTTTCCAATGATTGCTTGCTTTGATACCTGTTGTCAATGATACAAAGTCAGTTTTATAACTACTAAATAACTAGCAGGTGTATTGAGAAAAGAAAAGATAATGTCCGATAATTTTTGTTTCAGGTCATCAAAATCTGTCCAGATGAAAATATGCTGACAGACTTGAAGAAGTGTGATGAGCTGTTAGATCATGTGCAAAAAGGATTAAGTGAATATCTGGAGACGAAGCGTGCAGCATTCCCACGGTTCTTTTTCTTGTCTGATGACGAGCTTCTGGAGATTCTTTCTCAGACCAAAGATCCCATGGCTGTTCAACCGCACTTGCGCAAATGCTTTGAAAATATTTCTCGTGTAAGTATTGCCCTGTATTTTTACACTTTGCCATCACATCTCTCGGATCGGCGATGTTTACCTCCCCGTTTTTTTAAAATGTCCCTGAAAATGCCTTTGCCTTTGATGACAAGGGTTTTTACTATATGAGCCTAGTGATGGCAAAGTGTTAATGAAAAGAGACAGCAGTTTTTATTGTAAATATGAACCTCACATGTTAGCCTGGTGGTAAGTGTTGGCTCTTATCAGACTAGAATATTTATGAAGAATGATGTGACATGTTGTCTCTGTTACAGCTCCGATTTGAAGAAGACTTACAGATAACCAAAATGTACTCGGGTGAAGGGGAGTGTGTGGACCTGTGTGAGAGCCTCTACCCTGTTGGAAATGTTGAAGACTGGATGTCTGAGATTGAGCGGGTCATGAGGGAGACGGTGAGACAAGTCATTGCCATGGCTCTGCCAGACTACCTGGAGGTGGGTGCTTTTTCTGTTTAAATCCCAGTGTTAATCTGTTTACCTTGTACAGTGGGACCTGCTTTAATGGCCATCTGTATAAGAGAATCGCCCATGCAAATGGCCCCTTTCCATTTCCTCCCTTCCGTCTTTATACATCATAGTTCAATCCAGTAAAGTGGCCACCTGTCTAACTCATTGACGAAGCGCCAGGTCCCTGGACCCGACAAACTGTACCATTTTTTTTTGGTATCTAAAAACTAATAGAATTTCAAGGGGAATGACTCCTAGTGTCAGTTAAACCATTTACTTTTATCGCTTTTGTGTCCCTTTGACCATTGGTCGCCCGAATTGTGTGCTATTTATAAGCGATAAGCGATCTTGTGAAACGCGCTGACCTGACCTACTTTTTATGTAAACAAGAAACATGGCTGCCAGACGCGTCTTGTTCACTACCAACGAAGCGATTGAGATGTTGATTCTGGAGGGATCAGATGACGACGATGCTCCTTACCAGGCACTTGAAGAGAGTGGTGATGACTATGAACCTTCTTTTGAAGACCTCAGTAGCAACGAGGAAGGTTTGATAGTTAGAAGGGATTGTGGGACAAATGAGGAAGAAGAGGAAATGGGCGTCGCCTCTGGATCAGCTGATCCTGCAAGCCAAGATGACCCAAGACCTGGGCCTAGCTCGGGAGCTACAACTTCTAGATCTAGACCTTTTCGACCTACATTAGAGCCAGCTGCTAGCAGCAGTAATGAAGACACAGGTGCAGAACGTGGCAGTGGTGGTTGGGAGGAGGAGCAAGATGATGAGAGGATGTTCGACTGGGTGAAAAACTGTCACGGCTTCCCTTTGGAACCACCGTTTACTGGGGACAGTGGCTTCAAGACTACTATGGCTGCTGACACAACTCCCTTTGATTTTTATAAACTGTTTGTTACTGACACTCTGGTCAAGACGATCAAGACACAGACGAATCTGTATTTTAGACAATGGTTGGCACAGGTCAGATGACGTGCCACTCAGTTGTCTCTGAGATCAGTTTTTTCAAACTGGGACACTGTGAAGGAGGCAGAAATGTGGATCTTCCCGGCACTTCTGATCCACATGTCACTGGTGGAGAAGTCCTCCGTATCTGACTACTGGTCCCAGCATGCTGTCATCTCAACGTCATTTGCCCGCCGCTTGATGACGAGAGAGCGCTTCAATGCCATACTGTCATTTCTGCATTTGAATGACAACTCGAAGGCCATCCCAGCTGACCACCCAGAACATGACCCACTGTACAAGGTCAAGCCTTTGATTGATCACCTCAATGAAGTAAGTTTATTTACTTAGGATTTTGTGTCTGCACGAGAAAAGAGTGCCAAGTGTGTGTGTTTGTGTGTGTGTGTGTGTGTGTGTGTGTGTGTGTGTGTGTGTGTGTGTGTGTGTGTGTGTGTGTGTGTGTGTGTGTGTGTGTGTGTGTGTGTGTGTGTGTGTGTGTGTGTGTGTGTGTGTGTGTGAGCGCGTGTGTGATTTGTATCCGTGTTTGCTTATTACTTGACATGTACACTTGAGTATTTTATATATATATATATATATATATATATATATATATATATATATATATATATATATATATAATAGTGTATTGCGTATGTGCACATGTGTGTCGCAGTATGGGTGTGTGTTTAGGGGGGGGGGGGATATGTACGTTTGTGTGTGTGTGTGTGCTGAGAGAGAATTGTCAATGTCATTTGTGTGTGCGTGCACACGTGTCTGAATCATGTGTATGTGTGTGTGTGTGCACTTGTTTATTGTACAGAATGCTGCTACAAGATCTAGTTGTTCTTCTGACATGGGACACAGCTTCTTTCCTCAGATGAGACCAGTACTTCAACAAATATGCACACAGTTTACACTCTCCAACTTGTCATTTTTTTGTATTCCTCAGGCATTCAAAGCAGTTTACACTCCAACCAGGAAGGTGTGCATTGATGAGGCTCTCTGCCCCTGGCGCGGTCGAAGGGGACACAAAGTCTATATGAAGGACAAGCTGACCAAATGGGGCATAAAGCTTTATGAACTGTGCGAGAGCGGGAGCGGCTATGTCTGGTCCTTTGAAGTGATGGCCAAGACCATAAACCTTAGCAACAAACCTTTTGACTTTTGCCATCGACTCAGGGAGCCTCTGAAGAATCAGGGGTACATATTGTACGTGGACAACTATTACAACAGTCCAGAGCTATGCCACAGTTTCGTCTTAGCCAACACATCTGTTGTTGTTACTGTGAGGGCCAACAGAGTAGGTATGCCAAAAGACCTAAAGGTGAATAATAAGGGAGATGTGGACTACCGACGCCACAACCAGACTGTCGCTCTCCTGTGGAAAGGCAAGAGAGAAGTCCACCTCCTCACCACTCGTCATGGACCACAAGTGCAAGAGGTTCTGACTCACAGTGGTGAGAGGGTGAACAAACCCACCGCTGTGGTTGACTACACCACCAACATGTCTGGGGTCGATCAAAGCGACCAGCTTCTGAGCTACCAGCCCTTGCATCGCAAGACAGTAAAGTGGTGGAAGAAACTGGCTCTACACTTGCTCACGTTGGCCATGGTCCAAGCCCATGTGCTATTCAACAAGCACCAAAAGGTTCACGGCAAACGGAGGTGGAAGCTGGAGCAGTTTATCCGTACGGTCTGTAAAAATGGTAAAAGCTGGTGCGAGCAGAGCAGACCTAAAAAACAAGGCACCCTCCACACCCTTCAGATGCAAATCGTGCCAAAAGCCTCTGTGTCCCACAGCTTGCTTTGAGGCATTTCATTCAAAGGAGAACTATGCTTAGTTATCTTTTTTATTTGTTTGACTATAATATTATAATGTATTACATGTATATTATGACATGTAGTGTGTAAGCATGTGTGTGTTTGTGTGTGTGTGTACGTGCGTGTGTGTTTGTGTGTGTGCGCGGGAGCATGCGCGTGTGTGTGTGTGTGTGTGTGCGTGGGTGTGGGTGTGTGTGTGTGTGTGTGTGTGTGTGTGTGTGTATGTGTGTTCATTCCATGCTCCTGCTTCTTGTTTTAGAAGGAAACTGTTCATTGTGTTTCATCTTTGCTATTTTATCTTGAATTTTGTTGGTGACGTTACGTTTCTCTTTCAGTACTGGTATTCAGCGAGACTGTATATATATGTTCAAAATTCATAAAACCTATATAAAAATGCCTGACATGCCCACAACTTTTGGACATTGTCATTATTCTTTTATTACACTTTGTATTACTTGTTTGAAATCATTCTATTTGACTACGGTCAATTTTGACAACCATGTGCTTAGCTCATCTAAAAAGTTTTTTTTCACGTTTACATACATTTTTTTTCTCACGAAAAACATAATTATTTCAAAGATTTTGTGAAAATAAAAGCATTTTATGTAAATATACATAATGATCTTACTTTTTGTTAAATTTTATACTGTACTATTTTTAGGTTTATACCACTGATGTTTTGAAAATAGGTAAAAATCATGCGTCTCCAGGGAAATTCTCAGTGAAAAACTCGCGTCTTCAATGAGGTAAGATGGCCACTTTTCTCCTCGACAATGGATGACCCTCTTAGACAATTTTGACAGTATTTGTTAGCTCATGTTTCACCAGTCCTGATAGACTGATGTCTCTGGTGTAGTGGTTATAATTCACTTTGCCGTTGCCTGCAGAAGACTTATGCAGTTGCGAGCGCCGTAAAACCCCGTACTAAACTAAAACTAAAGAAGACTGAAGTTTGATTACCATGTGGGGGATAATTTTTATATGTAGCGATTTGGTCTTTCTGTTGGGAAGATGCATCCCTCTCAGTCTGGGTTAGCCTTTATAGGCAAGTTTAAAAGCCTGTCTTCTAACTCCTGAATTGTTTCGGTGAGGGCATAAAAACCCCTACTTAAAAAACGAAAACCTGTGAACCCCTAGCTGCAATAAATATGTGAGGCAGCGTGGTGTAATCAGGCTCTCGTCAAAATAATTAAAGTGAAGAAACTTGCATTTTTCCGCAGGTTTGTGAATTCTTATCAAATTTTTGTTTTTTGCCTCAACACCTTACATGCCCATAAAAGAACTCATTTCTGTGCGGATTTTTCTGCAAAACGTTGAATAAAGGCACAAAATATGTACATTTTCAGTTACCACGGACTCTTAAGCTAAGGAAATAACTAACTTTTGGCGACCATTTTCTCACTAATTTTACCGTTGAAAACAAGTGACCCCCAGCCTCCTTCTTTTGCAAATATCTCGACTTCTATTCAAGATAAATGGATATTTTTTTCACTCAAATAAAGACGTGTGACCAAGCTTTAAGATGATACCAATAACTCTACATGCCCAAAAGTTGACGAGAGCCTGATTCCACCAAGCTGCAATAAATATGTGATTGTCTGTGGAACAGTTCACAAAGTTATCTCCCCATAAAGCGCCATACACATATTAACCCTTTGAGTCGTGGTCTCTTGAACCTGCATGGCTCATGCACCTGAGTTCCTTGGGGTCGACTGCTAAATTTTATACCTCCGAGCTTTTTTAAGCTCCTGTTCAAAAGGCTTATGTGTTGAGTGTACTTTTTGCTTTTTATGGTATTACCAATTGTAATTATGGTTGTGAAAAATATAATTTCGGACAGAAGAAGTATTTGACTTTATTTGGTGGATATATGGTTGAAATCAGACACTGACAATATATGTGAGTCATCGTGTTGAAATCAGGCGCTTGTCAAAAAAATGAAACCGAAGAAACAATCGTTTTACCACCGTTTTAGCAATTTTCAATGAATTATTATTTATTGGTTCAGCACCTTTTATGTTCATTTTAAAACACATTTCAGTGTGAATTTTTCTGAAAAAAGTCGATTCCAGGCACAAAAAATGTAAATTTTCTGTTTGCAAGAGCTTTCAAGCTATGGAAGTCACCTAATTTTAGTGGCCATTTTCTCTGCAAAGAGGTGACACCCCCCCCTCCCCCCCCCCATCCCTTCCACCTCTTCAATCACAAATATCTTGATTTTTACTTTAGATAGGTGGATATATTTTTTCTTTGAAGGCAAGGCAAATGAACAAGCTTTAAGAGTATATCAAAATCTCCACATGGCCAAAAAACCGACAAGAGCCTGATTCCACCACGTTGTGACACATATAATATTATAATTTATTGTGCCTTCCTTTCAGTTATTTTTACCCCATTTTGCTCAATCTGTTACAGTCAATAAATCAAGAAGTGTACCATGTCAGTCTTTTATGGCTTTGCAAACTTTATAAATTCAGATCCAGCGAACGCAATGGGTGTTGAAGTGGCCTGGTCAAGTGGTCATCGCAGTGTGCCAGACCTACTGGAGTGCTGAGGTGGCCCAGGCTCTCGGGAAAAAAAATCTGTCGGAACACTTCCAGGTGATGCTGGAGCAGCTGGAGGGACTCAGGGGTCTCGTTAGGGAGGACATCTCTCGGTAATGTGTTGTGTAACATAGGCTGGGCTATCCTTTGTTCTTGTTGACCACTACTGTTTGCTTTGCTAAATGTCTTGTATAAAGCAGAGTATTTCTAATTTATGTTGATTTCTGTTTAGTTTGCGAAATGTCTTGTATAAAGCGGAGTATTTCTAATTTATGTTGATTTCTGTTTAGTTTGCTAAATATCTTCTTCTAAAGCAAGGTATTTCTGATTTGTGTTGATTTCTGTTTAGTTTGTTGAATGTGTCATACAAAGCGAGATATTTCTCATTTTTGTTGTTCTTTGTTTGATTTCTATGTTGACCCCTGTTTTGTTTGCAAGAAATATGTGAAACAAAACGTTTCGCTCTTATGCATGATAATATCTATTCAGGTTGTTTGATGTGTTATATAAAACCATATTTTTCGTGTTAATATTGGTCAGTTTGAATCTTTGCATTTTCCAGGTTAGCATTGTTTCTGGGAGACTTATGTGAAATACTGCTAGTCTGCTGTTTATTTTATTTTTTTTACTTTCAAGAGCAGAAATACATGCTTTGGTTGTTCAAGAGCAGAAATACATGCTTTGGTTGCATTATATGATAATTACCATGAATTCAAAGATATATCTAAAACTTTAAGTTGAAAAGTACAAAAAAATTAAGTCAGCCCAGACAGAGCAGTGACAGGGAACTGACCCCGGTGACCCCAATGTGATGAGGCGCTCGTTGGGGGAACCCCTCCCCCGCTGCAACTAAAATTCTGCTGCTGGTGCACCGTGTAAAAAGCCATATAATGATGTAAATGCGATACATCTTTTTATGAGGTAATTTCTGTTTGTGAATTGAACACTTTCAATGAAAATTTTTTTCAGAAATGATATTCGTAATGATGCAGGGGCTAAAATGACATAATAAATATTGTTTTTGTTGGTTGATCACTTTTCTTGAAAAAAAGCAAACCAGTTTTTGTACTGGTAATTCGTCTAATAATAGTAAATGTCTGGATTTTGAGGGAAGTAAATGCATATATTGTTTACTTACAGAATCAAGTATCTCATTGTATTGTAATGTAATTGTTTGCGTTCTGAGCGATAGGGCCTATAGGTATGAATGGCAATACAAAAGTGCTTACAGTAAAGAGCTTTGTTCTCCTTTCTAGGATTGGCCGAATGACTCTGTCTGCCCTAATTGTTATTGAAGTACATGCCAGAGACGTTGTGGATAAGATGGTACAGGAAAATGTCAATGATCCAAATGCGTTTGAATGGATCAGTCAGCTGAGGTAAGTTTTTTTTCTTGATGTTTAAACAAAGCTTTGCCTGAAACATTGCTGATTTATCTTAATGTTCATATTTTCAGGTGAAAATACTTACAAGATTTTGAAGATCTGCTGAAAATTATAATATTTTGGGGAAAAATATGTGTCTTGGTCATGCACATTATAGTCTTATCTCGACTAACTTGTTGTGAAAGCATAAGTGTATGCCACATTTTTTTGAAGAACTGTCTTATTATCATTAACATATGGGGAAATTTTAGCTTTTGGTTTGTGGGACAACTTATTGGAGTAAAATTTTCCTCGACAGATTGTTTGAGCTCTTCTTTTTTGTTGTCTTTATCCAAAACATGGTTTATTTGCACTTTTGTTTGAAAACAATACCCTGACCGATGACTATAGCCTAGATGGATGGCAGCATGACCAGGCCTGACTATGGCCAATTCCTATAGTTTATCTACTTCCCCATATTTGTGTTACCATTTTTGTTAGAATTTCTGTTATGGTGCTGCTGATGATTCCTATCCTTCCTGAATGGCTTTTTTTTCGTTAGATACTACTGGCTGCCTGATGAAAACCTGTACCAGAAAGCTGTCAATGCTCAGTTTCCTTACGGCTATGAGTACTTGGGGAACACTCCTCGTTTGGTCATCACGCCTCTCACTGACAGGTGAGTGGTTGAAAAAACGGGATTGTAAATCAGGAATGATTATTTTATTACTTATTAGCTCATTTAGGATGCTGCTGCTTCAATCCTGCCCTATCAGCATTACCGCAATGAACCCTAGGCTGCCAATACTAAAAAAACCCTCTTCCCTGGGCTCCCAAGCAAAATTCAAGAAAAATAGACAATGCTATATAGTTGTTTGTAGTACTCATGCAAAAACACAAATAAAGTAATAAAGTTATTTCTTCCGTCTTATCTCCAATACTGCTGCTTAGTTGCCAATCGGTTAGTCTGTCTACTTCTGGGTAGGTACGAGGTCTAAACAAGTCAGCCCAAACTCCGAAATATCGGGGTCTCGGGGCATGGACATCTTAGCTGCACCCCGATATATCGGGGTCTCGGGTCCATTTGGTTAACATATGGTGCAATCCAGAAAAAAGATGGAGATAATTTATGACATTAACTTCCCCTTGTGGAAACAGTAATCATGTCTTCAGCGTTCTTTGGAAAAGAGGTTAGTCATTACAGCATGAACATTGATATATATATATCTATCAAGTCATATGTAAAAGGAGCAAAAGTTGTGTGACATTAATTTGACGTAACAAAAGGTACAGTCGTATATTCCTGAGAAAAACAAAACAGTGTAAGGCAAGCATCTTTCTATTGTCTTTGAATAGTTGTTGCAAAAGATAGATTGTCCGTGTTTAAAAGTGTACAGAAATTTGTTGGTTTCATGTTAAATCAAAGTCTTACTGAATTAGGAAATGCAGCCTTAGAAGTTTCATGTGGTCTGATGTTTATTGGTGTAAATTGCACTAGAGAGAGGCTTTTATTGCTTTGCTGATTTTGTTTTTGTGAATGCATCCCCCCCCCCACCCTCTCTCTCTCTCTCTCTCTCTCTCTCTCTCTCTCTCTCTCTCTCTCTCTCTCTCTCTCTCTCTCTCTCTCTCTCTCTCTCTCTCTCTCTCTCTCTCTCTCTCTCTCTATCTATCTATCTTTCTATCTTTACTTTTTTCCTTTCCCTATTCACTCCCTCCCTCTGTTAGGCCTACTGTAAAACAGATACAATTATAAATTTGTACTCAGGGCATATTCTGCCATGTGAATTGAAAAACTAGTATCTAACAACATTATTTTTTTCCATTCTTGTTATGACTTCTGTTCAATTTGCCCAATCCCAATGATGTTGCTATAGTCTTTGAACATTAATATATCAATACTAAACTAAGGTACAAAGATTTGGCCTTTTTATCTAAAATCAACATGGTACTTATAACACAAATAAGTCAGAAAGTGCCAAAGATTATAGGTATTATGAGTGTTACTATAGAGTAACATACAAAGAAAAGAAGGAGGAGAGAAGGACGTACAATAGATGTTGGATAGGAAAGGCGGAGCAGAGCACCAACACCCACCAAACCACCCGCGGCTGTGTTATCCTCCTCCAGGTGTTACTTGACCCTCACCGGAGCTCTGCACCTGCTGTTTGGGGGGGCCCCAGCTGGACCGGCCGGCACTGGCAAGACAGAGACCACAAAGGTACTTGCCTCTCATTTCTGTGTCGCGGTCAGTGTGATCGCCTCAGTTCTGAATTTAGAAAAAAAAAACCCAATGATTTCCTTTAGAAAAGGTTAGCTAGGGGTGTTTACTAAGACATACTCAAACTTTAAAGGTGTTGTTAATACAAAGTAAACTGCAATCTTTTCAGCTTCAACAACATTATTGTTGGTGACTCCACCCATTTATTGGAATTAACAAAAGCTCCTTTGATTTATGTGTACAGAATTTTTGCCTTGGAATACAAAGTAGACTTTTATTATTTATCCTCATGAAAACTTGTTGTGTGCAGTGATGTACGTCCAAATCTTTCAAAATAAGAATTTCAAAGTTCTATTTGCTCAGTACCTAGTTTTGAGAAATTTGACATCCAAATTTCTTAGTTTCACAGTATGTCAAGCTTTTTAGAATTCAATTCTATGAATATCTTGATAACAACTCTGTATATTTTTACGATTTTGATAGAGCAGATGGAGCATTTTTCTTCTGACCTCATGGTCTTAGTAACTCAAAACACCCTAAAATGTCACATAGAACTGTGTAATTCTGAAGTAGTGATTAGGCACTGCATCTTGTACTGTGTGGATAATACTTATGAAGCAAATGTATGGCAAGAGGTTTTTATCTGCTGGAATGTCAATTCTGGCTATTGTTTGGGCATCAAAGTTTCTCAGACTCTAGCGGTAAAGGTAGTCCCAGGACTTGTGGGTGCTCCCTTTGTTTGAAAAAAAAATGTGACAGTATGAATCTATCCTTTTATTTTTTTTTGTGTTTTGAGTACAAGTACAGAATTATGAATTTCTTTTTAGTACAGCAGGTAGTCAATAAGGCTTTAAATTGTTTTTTTAGAATATCTGTTCACTGATGTCCGAAGTCTTGTAGTACATTACTCACCGTATAGCAGTGAAAAAATACATCCTCTAACATAGGTCTTCTCTGAAGCATATTTTTCTTCCTTGTCCTTAGATCTCCACTTGATCTTGGTAAGGTGAACAAGCTCTGTATTAAGTAATGAGGTACAAATGTTTATAGAAGATGCTTCAGTTATAAGATATATTATCTATATTTCTGTATTGCTTTTTTCAGGATCTTGGAAAAGCCTTTGCGATACAGTGTGTTGTGTTCAATTGTTCAGACCAGTTAGACTTCATGGCCATGGGAAAGTTTTTCAAAGGCCTTGCAAGGTATATAAATAGATTTGGAAACTCATGATGAAACTGAAAGTAAGAGCACTTCTTAAGCAAAGGCTGCATGAGAACTGTTATCCTGGAAGATAATAATATGCATGAATCAATGTAAAACTGTATAATGCATATGCGAGGCAGTGTGGTGGAATCAGGCTCTCGTCAAAATAATCGAAGGGAAGAAACTTGCATTTTTCCGCAGGTTTGTGAATTTTTATCAAATTTTTTTTTTGGGCTCAATACCTTTCACGACCATTCCTTTAAAGAACTCGTTTCTGTGTGGATTTTTCTGAAAAACGTTGATAAGTCACAAAAAGTGTTAATGTTCAGTTACCTCGGACTCTTAAGCTAAGGAAATAACTAATCTTTGGCGGCCATTTTATCACCAATTTTACCTCTGAAAACGGGTGAACCCCACCTCATTCATTTGCAAATATCTCGACTTGTATTCAAGATAAATGGATATTTTTTCATCCAAATAAAGACAAGTGAACAAGCTTTAAGATGATACCAATAACTCTACTTGCCCCAAAATTGACGAGAGCCTGATTCCACCACGCTGCCTCACATATACTCAATGAATGGCAAAGATTGTTGATGTGTCTTGCTCAGTCTTGTTTTTGTCTTCACCACTGCTTAAATTTCATAAAGTGTCTGCTTGACAGGGGCAGGAAGTTGTATATTAATCAGATGCCTGGAAAAGAGATTTGATTTTTTTGTCGTATTGTAATTTAAGTTGGCAGACTGGTATTTTAGTCGCACAATTGTCAGAGAGAGTTGAAAAGCTAAGAATGCACTTTGTAGCCTTTTGAATTTTAAGATGTTTACCTTGAACTGCATATTTATTTAATTCTAATAGCGTTGTGCTTTGATTAGATGAAGGAAATGATCATGCTTTGGATTGTGGTATGTCTCTATTCAGTAATGATATGTTTGACATTGAACTGACTTTACTTCTTTATATTTCAGTGCTGGTGCATGGGCCTGTTTTGACGAGTTCAACAGAATTGATATTGAAGTGCTTTCTGTAGTAGCTCAGCAAATTGCCACTATACAGTCAGCTCAGAAACTGAAGGTAATCTCTTTTTCTTTCTTTCATTTCTTTGTTTTTTGGGGATTTCTTTTTTTCTGGAACAATATATACATGCAGGCTTTAACTCTTTATCTCCGGCAAGCTGCTCCGAGTGGCTCGCGGTCGGGACCACTCTGCCGGTGAGCCGCTGACAGCACCTCATGCTCATTTCTTTACGAAGACTTCGAAATCAAATTACTTTTCGGCAATTGCTGAAAACAGGTCTCTTTTACCGGAAGTTCATTCATTATATGAAGAACTATCAAAATAGTTTTGCTAGTTTCAATTTAATGACCCTTTTACTGATGTTTTTGTCATTTTTAGATTTAGCTCCAATAAAGGGCCCCGGCGTACCCCCCTCGGGGATAAAGAGTTAAGATATAATCATGGTCTAATAAAATGCTTCATGGTTTCAAGGGGGTAATTAGCTAAAGAAATATTAAAATTCGAATGTATTGGTTTGAATAAAGTGACTTCTTCAAGTGCTGGTTTTGGGCTACATTAAGCGATATAATAATATGGCATTTATATAGCGCTCAACTCTGATCATATCACTCTTTATCAATCTTTGTTGTTTCTAGTGTAGAGAAATATAGTAAAAAATGTTTTGCAATGTAGATCGTTTCTGCTTAGAGTTGAAGGATGTGTTTTTGAAAAACCAGACAAAAATCTTTAGAATAAATGCATGGAAAGTGTTGAATGCACTTGGTAAAGAAACTTACTTCTTCTTAATGGCATTTTCCAATTAATTATTTATATCGTTTGTAATTCTTCAGTCTACCCTTTTTTTCATTTGACAAATTTTTGTTGCCACATTTCTTTAGAAATTTCTGTTTCTCACATGCAAATAAATTCTTTGTGAAAGAAACATTAGCTCATGCTTTCATATTGGTACGCAGATGGACACATTTATATTTGAAGGCGTTGAACTGGTGTTGAAAGCATCCTGTGCTGTCTTCATCACCATGAACCCTGGGTATGCGGGGAGAACAGAACTGCCTGATAATTTGAAGGTATTTGACTCTTTCAAACTTAAAGAAATTTAAATTAATTTTTTCTCTTGCCGAGATTTGCTAATTTGTAGAGAGCTTGTCGATCTGAGCTGTTGTGCTGTTTACACATTTGTTTGTGGTGTATTTGCCATACAGTTTCAAGACATTTAGTACTTTGTTTTCTGTTCGCAGCAGAAGTTGCTGACACATTCATTCCTATGATTTTAGAGCAGTAAGCAAGTTATTAAGTACATTCACTATTTTTGCTAGTGGGTGGTTGGTGCACACCACAGACCAATTCTACTTATTTTCATTGTTACTATTGCCCTGATTTGTTCCTAGCAGATTCATGGTTGATATATATTTCTTTATTTCCCCTCTGTTGTTTGTAACTGTCATGCTCTTTCTTGGCTTTAAATGATTTTATGGGTGATATAACTCATTCGCTACGTATTATTTTCGGCTTGTGGACGAATTTTTTTCGGGAGGACGAAAGAGATGATGACTAGTGGACAGTTAAAAGGTCTTTGGGGCCACAAATTCAAATAAATATCAATGTATTATATGCCAATATTTTCAGTATGGTTTGTAGAATACATCTGTAATGTTTATTTATGTATTTTTCAACTTTGGTTCCTGTAAGAGGCGATTATGCAACACAATTTTGATTGGATGCGGATAAAATTTGAAACTAAAAAATTAATAATCTTTGGTGAAACTCAAACAATATGTTTGCACCTAGTCAAATGATACTTCAAAATAACCATAAATGAAAATAGAACTGGAAAATATTGAAAAGTTGGCAGTTATTTACATACATTCCATAATATTTGTACATTTGGATCATAACATCCGATATTTGAAAGAAAATTTTTTTTTTATAATCTTGAAAAACGATCACAAACAGAAAAAACCCCACTCGTATCTTATATGGAATCATTCAGAATTGCATTTGGAATAAACCTATGTATGTCATGAGTGGCACTTTTTGTGTAATTTCATAAAAAAGTTGTGATTTTGGGGACAAAAAAATATTTTGACAATTTAGATCTAGACCTAGATCTAGCACTAAAAAATATTGATTTCTCAATAACAGTGCATTGGCAATATGAGTCCAATCGTATCAATATTATAAAAAAGAGTCCTACATTTCTTTAGTGGGCAAAATAATGATAGATTTTGTTGTGTAAAATTAATAAGACTGGTGTCTGGGCTATAATTTTGGAATCGCGATAAAACAAAGTCGAATAAACTACGAAATCGCGTTTCAAAACTGAATCTAAATTTCCGATTTTCAGTGGAAATACTTGACCCAAAAGTCAACATTACATTATGACCTTTATTTTAACATGGATATGTGAATTGGAATAGAATCTAAGCTAAAATTGAAGATCGGTTCTCGAGCCGCCGGTGGCGGCTTAGCGTACTGACGGCACTTTAGCCGCACCGCCCCCCCACGGCTCGGCGTAGCGAATGAGTTAAGGGCATTAATGGAAGATTGGACTTCTTTTTTTCCCTCTGTTGTTTCTGGTTGTGTTTAGAGCTTTTTCCTTTCACTTTAAAAGCCAATATAGTGTCAATATTCTTCTCTATGTACTCTAGCAAACAAAGTAAATTGATCAATGTCCTCAGTGGCGGCTCGTGGTCTATAGAACTGACCGGCGGTCATTCACGTCGACTATTTTTCCCTCCCCCACCCCTTCCTTCACAACACACACGCACGCACGCTCACACGCACACACACACACACACACACACACACACACACACACACACACACACACACTCCTTATTTTATACCCCTACTTTCGCCATCCCCACCCCCTCCCCCACTCACACACACACACACACACCACAGTAAACATTGTAATATAATGTGAAAGAGTTAAAATATGCGGTAGCGTCAAGAAACAATATTATGAATAATGTAAGATGGAAGTTACTGAGATTAATAGAAACTCACTTGATCAGCACAGAAAAAGAAACACTACTTGATTCTATGCTAGAAAACAAACTGAACGTGAGAGGCAATAAACTGCTGGTCCTGGCCTCCAGTACTTTACTCGTACTTTCTACACCCCCACTCAAAATATCGACGTTCACTGGACCCGTTAAATATATGTAATAAGAACTGGCCTGTATGATGACAAAAAGTCAATTGCTACTGTACCAGTGACGCTGTCCCAAGCAGATCAAGTCTACAATCAGATGCTATACAAAGCTTGACAAAGTTAGCGCACAAGTTTCCGATCATTATATCACCAAATGTACTTCATCGCACTTTTCAGTTCTCAGAATTGAACACTGAACACTGTGTTGTAACAAAGTGGGGAAGTGTGTCAAATGCTAATTATAGAACTTGGTGTCTAGCTGGGGTGAGGGTTGAAAAGGGGAGAGAAGGGAGGGGGTTTTCGGCCCAGACTCTGACAGCCGAGTGCCTATCGCTCCTCGTTAAAATTCTCCTTACATATATCTTCACTAGACGATTCCTTCTTTCGCCGGCCAGACTCCTAAGGGCCAGGTAAGTTATTAGTGGGGAGAAAACGATGAGTAAATGCCAAACAGGAACTATAGGTGGTTAAAAAGTCAATAAACAAAAAAGATTAGTGCCATGCTGACAGTAAATGTTCTGATAGTAGTTAGAGAAAGACTGAATGATAAATACATGTTTAGCTGATAAAATAAGACATGTATCTGTGCTGCTCAAGACAGTCTCATTCTTAATTTTGTAAGCTACAAAGAGGCCAATCTGGCAATTAAGGGATACCATATTCGCTATTTGAGGGCTGACGATGGATTTGTCCATGGGACTGACGTCATCGCTAGGCCTAAGCCAAGCCCGCCGTGTGTTTGGCCTCATACGTAGTATGAAGTTCCGCGACGTGACGGCTTGATGGGAGACGATTTAAAGTTACGAGCCAGCGCGATAACAAATGTAAAGGAATGAAGTTATGTCGCGACAAAACAGCAGTGAATCCCACTTGTCTATTTGAGCGCATTCAAATCGGCAAGGTGTGTTTGAATGTTGATACATGTTTGTTTGTATTTATTTAAAACTGAAGGAAAATCGTCATCAGCAATAAACCTCTAGTCAACAGTTCAGGTGACAAAAATCTGGCCGGCACCGCCGGTCTTGCCCAGTTAACAAACCGCCCCTGAATGTCTTATTTAAGAGCTTCTCTGCCCTTTAACAAACCAGCAAAACATGGCCATTTTGAACTGGCTGTGTATGTGAAACGGTATGGTGGAATCGGGCGCTCATAAAAAAAATACAGATCTATCATGAATAGAAGTCGAGATATTTACGATTGAAGGAGGTGGGGGTCACCTGGTTTCAGTGGTGAAATTAGCAAGAAAATGGCCGCCAAAGTTTGGTGACTTCAAGAACTTGAGAGCCATTGGAAACTGAAAATGTACATTTTGTGTGCCCATACTCAAAATAAATAAAAAATCAACTCAGAAATGTGTTTTTGAATGGAGGTAAAAGGTGTTGAGTCAAATAACAAGAATTTGATAAATATTGCTAAATCATCGGAAAAATGACAATATCTTCAATTTAATTATTTTGACTAGTACCTGATTTTACCAAGATGCCTCACATATTATAACTCTAAATTGCCTTTGTAACGTTCCACCTTCCAGGCCCTGTTCCGCCCAGTAGCGATGATGGTGCCAGACTATGCCCTGATTGCTGAGATCAGCCTTTTTTCCTTCGGCTTCTCAGGAGCTCGAGTGCTGGCCAGGAAGATTGTTTCCACCTTCAAACTCTCATCAGAACAGCTCAGTTCTCAAGTAAGACATAATAATATGTCTTTGATTGTTGTCAACTGATGTCATGATTAACTGAGTAATCGACTACACGATCCTGTGAGGATGTGTAGATTTTTCGTTCTTGCCTTGTGCACACCAAGAGCAGATTGTTGTGATTGAGTGGTATACTTTGTATCCTGTTGTATTATGTACATGATGGTCTTGATGATTCCTGCCTGCTAGTAGCACTTGAGAGAATAGGCATATGCCTTTATTATAAATGTTTTGTTTCAATAAATTTGTCTTTGGCTATTATTTTGACATGAGTATGACTTAAATTTATTTATAAATCAGAATGCACTGTGCATGTCAGCGTATGCTGTAGCATTTCTTTCATCTATCACTTTTAGTTCATATTGGTTTAACAGCCCTGTTAACATGGTGAGGTCACTTGGAGGGGGGGCGGGGGGCGGGGGTGTGCTGTCCTAATTTTGCTGGTACTTCTAATATACTCAAGTTCAGTGGGTGGAGAACTTCGAACACCTTCTAAAAAAACTTCCAAATTTAATAATGCCATGTTGGGGGATTCAAACCATTGTGATCAGGATGGTAGTCCAGCGTGATATCAACCGAACTTTCAGTATGCCCCTTTCAGTTCTCCTTTTTTGTGATATAACTTAATTAAGATATGTGACAAAATGAGTTACTTCTCGCAATCCACAAATGGAGCTATTGGCCAAAAGTTGACACTAGGGTCAAATTTGTAGATTTCTTATTGATGCCATATTCTTTGAGCATAACATGCTTTTTTATTATTTCATACTTATAAATTGTAAATACTTCGCATAGAAGCATGATGTATCTATTTCCATAGGGATTGAATCTGAGAAGTAGCTAATTTTGTCAGCAGGCATCACATATGCTTTTGTCTGTTTCGACATGAAGGATCATTACGACTTTGGTATGAGGGCTGTGAAAAGTGTCATCTCTGCTGCTGGTAATCTAAAGAGAACAAATCCTGATATGGATGAGGTGAGTGGATAGACTTCAAGTAATAACAACTGTTGCATGCATATTGCATTCTTTGGAGAGATGAAAATGGTGCTGAAATTGAATATCATTGATATCATAATCCATTTCATCACCATTACCTTCTTCTTATCTTTTTAACATGACAAGGTGTCATGGTCTTTTTTGTTCATTGCTGCCATCCTCATCATCATCATCATCATCATCATCATCATCATCATCATCATCATCATCATCATCATCATCTCCATCATCATCATCATCATCATCTTCTTCCTCGTTCTCGGTCATCATCATCATCATCATCATCATCATCATCATCATCATCATCATCATCATCATCATCATCATCATCATCATTGTCATCATCTTCATCCTCATTCTAGATTTTAAAAATTATAACTATCACTATCATTATCATCACCTCTATCATCTTCACTTTATTGTCATTGTAATAAGATAGCCTAATACTAATAAGAAAAGCCTTCAAAACTGTCTTTCCAGATCTCGATCTTATTTATCATCATCATCATCATCATCATTATCTTTATCATCATCAGCAAGGAAGCATCAGCAACGGCAGCAGCTTGCTGTATCCACCGCGGTGAACAAAAAAAAAACACAGCTTCATCTTTATGCATACTTCTGTGACCTTTTCTAACTACAAATGATGAATTTTTGGAATGTCTTCTCAACAACGTTTTTCACTCAGTGGTTTCTGCCGCACCCAACCAAACAGGTTTTACATTGCTTTTGAGTGAAACCTTAGCCTGGTGCGCACACTCCCTCCAGTCTTTGCACTTCCTGACAAACGACTTATAAAAACAGTCATCATTAAAAGGACAGTTTTAAAAAAATGGCGATTTCTTCTTCTTCCTACAGCAACTGATCTGCCTGAGGGCCATACAGGATGTCAATGTCCCCAAATTTCTGATTGACGACCTCAAACTGTTCAATGGAATTGTATCTGACCTGTTCCCTAATGTCAAGTAAGTTGATTGCCTGTTGCAGACTTATGGTACAGAAGAAGGTAGTAAAAAGAATTTCGACAAGAAGAATACACCATATTATGTTCATACATCACATACTTTTAAACACAGTCACTGTCATTTATAAATCTTATTACAGATGTCTCAGTTGTTGTCAAGGGCACTTCAGATTGTCAAGTTTTGTTGTGTGGTTCTAAAAGGGGACAAAGAGTAGGAAGGAAGAGAAAGTTGTAGTGATGTAAATGTTTCACTTGTACATTTGGCCTTAGGTGTTTGTAGGTCTGTATATTATTCTCTTTGTGACCCATTATGTTGGCTGTATTTCGATCATCGTGCTTTAACTATAAAGCAGCGACTTGGAGAAGAAAATGCTAATACCAATATGTTCTCATTTCTGATAGGGATTTTTCAATTATCTGGATTTATTTGCAAGTCTTTAGAATAAAAGATTTTAGGAAGTCAAAGATCATTCTAAACAATTAGTCACCTCTCAGTTTGAGATGCGAGGTAAATAAATGTCCTCTACTATGCTAGTGGTGATAATCTATATTAAAAAAGAAAGACCTTAACAGTGTAAGGGTGCTATATTAAAGGAGCAAACAAAACACAGAGACATGCTGTTTCCATTATGTTTTTACTCAGCAAGTGAACTGTATTTGACAGGGAGGAGCCCATAGACTACGGCATCCTCAACACATCACTCAGAGACAACTGTACAAATGCAGGACTCAAGGATGTAGATGGTAATGGCAATAACGTTAAAAACACTTTTTTGCTCATGTATAAAAGGATTTTTATCGTGTTATGAAATGTGAGTTCCATTATTATGTTATATTTTGTTAAAGTTGGACCTTTTGTTAGAGTATTCGTTCATGTTGTTCGATTAGAGTGTGTGATGGCTGTTTCTGGCTTATTGTTTTCTGCCTCTGAAAGTCATCTTTTGTTCGCTTTTTCCAAAACTCTTTAGCTGTTTTCAGTATGTAGTAGACATTGCGGAGAAAGGTTGTGAGGCAGGAACTGTAATGTGTGCCAAAAAATAAACATTTGTGAAGCAGCATGGTGAAATCAGGCGCTCATCAAAATAATCAAAGTGAAAAAACTGACATTTTTCTGAAAGTTTGTGAATTTTTATTAAATTTTTGTTTTTTGTCTCAACACCTTTTATGCCCACTAAAGAACTCATTTCTGTGTGAATTTTACTGGAAAAACGTTGATTTAAGTTAAAGGCACAAAAAATGTAAATTTTCATTTTCCACAGACTCTCAAGCTAAGTAAATAGCAGTAGCTAATTCTTTGGTGGCCCACGGCGTCACTTTTCGCCCGATTCTGTTATCTTTAGTTAGCGTGACTCAGCAGCCTTCTGGAACTCCCCGGCTCGGGGTCATGGGGTTAATGAGCCCTGAAGCGACTTTGCCGGTGTCGGATAGGAAGTTCGCATATTTGACTATGTTTAAAATGATATAACCTCTTCGCCATGCCACTCAGCAAACCATTACACAGATGTACTAAAAGCTCAATGTCTTGAGATTTATTCTGCATTGGAATAGTTAATTTCTGTGCCTTAGTTTTTGTTCTAGACAAGTGTTTGTAGAGTACCCAATTTGTCCTATTTTAGTTACAAACTTATGAATAAATGATTGTTAATTTAAAAAAGGCACGACAGATCTCTCCAAAATCTGTGTTAAACTGACTACGAATATCATGTCTTTTACCATGAGAAATCTTAAATCTGCGCGAGTAGTAATAGTCAAGTTATAAGAGAAGAAAGATGCACATCTGCATTAGCTCTTGTTCTACTATTAAACAAGAGAAAGTTACTCTGCGTTTGTTCATGAATCATGCTGTGTCTGTGGCAGCCTGCATACAACTAAAAAGATATAATATAAGCGATTAAAAAAACCCACAAAACCGTGTAAATACATGGGTAGAGATAAACTTCTTGTATGGAATAAAAATGATGACAGCTAACACATTCATTCTTAGTTTTTATGTCTGAAATATATATGCGCGGACACAATTATGAATGTAAAGAAATCAGTCACATTGTCAGTAATTGCAAATGGTCATAGAAACGAAAAATACAGTGTCCCTAGAAAGCTAGAAATTATTCTCATAACCCAATTACGAGAAGTCATCCCTATTATTCACTTAACTTACAAAACCTAGACTTAGCGTTGTTTAGAAAAGTAAGGAATTTCTGGAGTGTAACAGGTACTGTTTGTGTATTACATTGAAGATGTATTCTGTCTCTAAAATCGATTTGTACTTTTCATAGAGAAACTTCATGGTAACTTTAATAAACTTTCGAGAAAATATGCGAATATTCACGATTATATTAGACACATAAAGTTCTATTTGGAGGAATTACTTAATAGCGAATTGTGTGCCCGATGGATAAAGTTGCAAAATTACAGCTTTCTATTATGCGCAGATACCATCTTTTCTGAGTTTCTGCACCAATGCTATGTCGTTCATGTTCCAAAAGTTCGACAGATTTTGTTGAGGCCCTTTTTATATATTGATTTTTTTTCATTCGCACTAGTCCCAAAAAAATTACAATTTAGCATTGCCGACTCCAGCGCGTCTAACGAAGTAACCAGACAAGTTACAACGTCTGTTCTTTTTTGAGTCTCAAAAGCAGAAATGCGTGCTTTGGATGCCCTAAATGAGAATTGCCATAAATACAAGGATACACCTAAAATTGTACGTTGAAAAGTACCAAAAATGAAGTCAGCCCGGACAGAGCGGTGACAGGGAGCTCACTCCCGTGACCCCGACCTGATAAGGCGCCCGGCGGGGAACCCCCGCGGCAACTAAAATTTCACTGCCGGTGCGCCGTGGGCCATTTTCTCTCTAATTTTACCTGTAAGACTAGGTGACCCCCCTCCTCCTTCATTTGCAAGTAACTCGACTTGTATTCAAGATTATTGGATATTTTTTCCATCCAAAGCAGGACAAATGAACATGCTTTAAGATGATACTAATTACCCTACATACCCAAAAATTGTGGAGAACCTGATTCTACCGTGACTCATTTAGATATTATCTTTTTTTTCACTTTTACTTTTTCACTTGTGCACATCTGAGACATCTCTTGATTTGGTAAAATTTTGTTTATTTATTCTCGATGTATACCCCCCCCCCCCCCCCAGTATGTTTATGTTATTGCTGTTCTTATTGAATGTGAACTAATATATCCTGCAGAATTTATCCACAAGTGTATCCAGCTGTATGAGACTACAGTGGTGCGACATGGGCTCATGTTGGTAGGGCCTGCAGGCACGGGGAAGACCAAGGTGCTTATTGTTCTCTTTCTTCTTTCTGGAAGTTTCTTGCTCATTTCATGTGGTATTTGTTGCTCATACCTGCTTTTCAAAATTAATTAGATAAATATGATATCATGTTTTATTGTCGCAATAGATTCTTATTATTTGACTATTTGCAAAATGCGTGACTAATTATAGTCCATGTATTGAGCAGTTTTGTTTGAAACTTTATTTACAATACAAATAAATAATTAATTGCTAAGTGTAAATGAGCAGTTTTGTGGCAAAATGCAACAATCTGTTTTTATGATTTGAGGTAAATGAAGACACTTTCTTTTCTTCTAGGAATGTCTGGTCCTTCTACCCTGTACATTCACATTACAGTACTAGGTGTTAATTGATGTTCCTCTTTTCCTTTTCCCAATTTAGGTTCCAATTTAAGGCTTGTTTTGGGATCCAGATTGCAAATGTTCCTTGTAACTTAATCAAAGTAAAAGAGCAGAATGTATAGAGCTCCATGTGTGCATTATCTCACAATATCTTGTAGATTGTTTGCAGGCCCAGAGATCTTGGCAGGAATTGCAGAAGAATTTCAAGAAAATGTATTTCTTCAAAAATACTTCTATTCATAATTCAGTTTCTGATTAAAAATTTTATTTTTTCTATTATAGTGTTACAATATGCTGAAGGCAGCTCAGACTGAGCTGAAAGGACAACCCACCCCATCCTTGTCCTTCTTTGAAACAACTCATGCCTACGTCCTGAACCCCAAGTCTATCACCATGGGCCAGCTATATGGTGAATTTGACCTCTCTACTCATGAATGGTAGGGAACATTTGTAAACGGTAGAATTTTGTTTGCATACGAAAAAGGACAAAGACACGATTAGTCATTCATTTTGCCCAGGGAAAAGCAAAAAAGACTTGGAGAGTCTGATAAATGTTGCGGAAAAGATAAAAATTGTTTCTTGAGCCCATGATTGGTGCATTGTGTGTGTTACACAGTTTGTTATGACTGGTCATCTAGTCTATTTTCTGAAAGTACTAGAGAGTCAGTAAAGATTTTAAAAAATGTGTGAATGCGTTACCTGAACTAGTGGAACTATATCAATGCTTCACCAAAACAAGCATAAATAAATTCATCTTTACTTGGACTGATGAAACTTCCATTTTTGCTTTAACAGGACCGATGGTATTCTCTCCACTCTGATTCGAGTGGGCACGACAGCCAACAATGAAGACAAGAGGTGGTATGTGTTTGATGGGCCAGTGGATGCTGTGTGGATTGAAAACATGAATACTGTGCTGGACGACAACAAGAAACTTTGTCTCAGCAGTGGAGAGATCATCAAACTCACTGACGTGAGTGGGTATGGCTCTTTCACCGCCTCCAAGTATAAGGAATTATTTCTTAAATGTGCAGTGTCTTAATTAGATAAGGTAAATGTATTAAACTGAATTTTTTGTGTGCAGAGTTTTAGATTTCGTTTTCTGCATAAAGATATAATTACCACCTAAATAAGTTGGGTAAAATTATGTACCACCAATGCGCAATCATCAATCTCAGCATAACTAATGGCATATTGTCGCTTCCTATTTCTCAGAGGTCTTAAGTCTTTGAGTTTAACGCTTCTATTAACACTGTTGCATTATTTAAGAGGTGCTTAGAAGTCTGATGAGAGGTGAAACCTAATGGAGGTTACAGGAAAGCCTGCTTCAGCATGTTTGTACGTACATATTGAATTTTACTCTTTGAAGAGTACTCGATCATGCATTTTGCACAGCAATGTGAAATTGACTTACAGACCTGGAAGTAATTCTATTCTACTCCGTTCACATGAAAAAGATACTCCTGATACATAATGTCAAAAAATAAAATATTTTACTTGTTGGTCTGAATAATATTTAGTTGATGAATGGGGGCCCTGGTAGGTTCAACCATTTGCCCCTTTTCTCCGTTGAATGTTTTGCTATATATGGATCTCATAATCCTAATCTGTTTCTTGTCAAATGTGTCGGTTGTTATACTGATGCACCAGAAACTATTACTCAAAAACAACCAACTGCTGAAGTATTACTTTCTAAATTTCTTGAACCTTATCCTTTATTTTGACTCTCCTTGTACATTCTGTGTGTTTTAAGGTTATATTGAATGTAATTTGGGGGAATAAGCATACTTTATTTTGCATACATTTCATTCATTCATTCATTCATTCATTCATTCATTCATTCATTCATTCATTCATTCATTCATTCATTCATTCATTCATTCATTCATTCATATTCTTTTCTTTGTTACAGAGTATGACAATGATGTTTGAAGTAGCAGACTTGTCTGTGGCATCCCCCGCTACTGTGAGTCGATGCGGGATGGTGTATTTGGGCACTTCTGTTATCGGAATTGAGCCTTTTGTGGAATGTTGGCTACGGACGATTCCAGAGATATTCTTTGACTTCATGGACAAGATGCAAGAGATGTTTGACACTTTTCTAGAGGTTAGTGTGCAAGTTAGATATGTAAAGTCATGAATTGTGTTTGCTTTTTTTGTGAGTTTTTAGTGCTTTTGTGTAAAGGCTATCTGCATATATTTACCTCAGACTAGTACTTTCTTGTTTTCTTCGATCAAGAAAGATCATTTCATTATTACAGATTAGCCTTCAAATCTTGACATTAAAAAGATTGTCAAGATATAAATACAGTGAAGTATGAAACCAACATTTAAGAACAGAATAAGGTCTGGAATCTTATTCTTAAAACCTTGAAAAAGGGGTTTAATTTTATTACTCTTTTGAATAGTTTAGTTAAAGTCCATCACAATTGTTCAGTTTAACAGCATAATATCTTGAAATGAATTAATCTTTCCAAATATGGGAAAGAATGTTAAATAGAAAGAGTAATTTTAGATGTTAAGAAGAGCTAAATCCTTACCTCAATATTTAAGAACAGAATAAGGTCTGGAATCTTATTGTTATGACCATGGAAAAGGGGTTTAATTTTATTACTCTTTTGAACAGTTAAGTTTAAGTCTTTCACAACTGTTCAGTTTGACAGCATAATATCTTGAAATAAATTTATTTTTCAAAATATGGGAAGGAATGTTAAAGTGAAAGGGTAATTTTAGAAGTTACGAAGAGCTAAATCCTTCCCTTTTCCTTTCCCTCAGCCGTGTTTACAGTTTGTGAGATCGTCATTGACAGAGATAGTGACCACAATGGACAGTGGATTGGTCTTCAGCCTCTTCAGGCTACTTGACTGTTTTATAAATAAATTCAGACTGAAAGTGAGTCATTGGCCTCTTATATTATGACGTGTATGCCTTCATTTAATCTTGATAGAGGAAAGAACAGTATTGTTTTTAAGTGTGATGCTAAAATGTGCTTTGCTCTTTCATGCGCTAATCGTAACATATTCAGCTGACAAATGCTGTGGGTATCTCCTTTTTCTTTTGTTTGTGTTATTAATTTCTGTCTGTCATTTTGCTGCCCCTCTCTTGGGGTGGAATGAATTAAATTCGTTTCACACCTATAGGACATGCAACCCCCTCCAGTGATGGAACAACAAGTGACAACTACACTCTTGAATGTATATGTAAGGTATTTAATTTAGAGTATCTTCTTTGCCTTCTTTCCAACTGTCTTCCAGTAGATCTTGTCCTTTGCTTTTGTACTTTACATTATGTTCTTCTCATAACAAGACAAATCATACTCATTACCTGGAGCTAAGTGGTATATTGTTGTACTCCTGTCATTTTTTTATAACTTTGAAAAAACAATCATTTTGCTTATAATTACTGACTTTATTTCTTTTTGTTTTTGCCACTCACTCTAATAATGATAACTGTTAATAATAGAGATGTTCCTTTGGCCGTTAGCAATAATGAAAAGTTAATTGTGCTTGTGACAGTAATTCTGTAATCAATAATGTGTTGGTACAATAGTGTATGTATTCATACATTATGTGATATTTTTCTGTTTACAGCCAAACCAAAAACTGGTAAGTAAATATTTGGGCATTTTTACTTAAAATATTGCATAGGCCTATTTGCTTTCTTACCTGTGAGCTGCCAAATAACTTCCATCAAGTATTTTAATTTCTAGGACTGCTTTTGTCACTTAAACTGATCACCCCACCCCCCCCTCCAGGGTTTTTCATTGTTTACAAAATGAGTCCTTAAGTCTTTTACGAGAACGTTATTATTTGTAGACTTCAGTTTTATTGCTATTTGCCTTAAATCTATCCAAGATGGACTATTCCACTTCCTTAGTTCTTGTGATTTAATTTTCTTTCTGTCTTTCACCTGTTCTGTACAGACTTATGTTTTTTTTCTTAATTTCTGGAGGGGGGTTCCATCTCTTCTTTTTTTCTTCTCTTTTTTATAACAGAATATTATTTCTAAACTCTACTGATTGTTATTCTTTTTCTTCTGAACTCTTTACTATTGTTTTTTACCATTCCCTTCTTCTTTGTTGACATATGACCTAGCAAGCATCTATATGTGCTAGCCAGAACACAGTGCTAGGCAAGATTTGTTCTCAGGTGTTACAATAATTTCTCCCAGAGGCAAAAGTATTCCGTATCTCTGAGAATTTGTTGTCTGTCTTTATCTCCGCACATGAATGGTTCCATTTTTACATCTGCACTTCAAAAGTAGACAGTGAATGTGAGTAACACACTCTTTGCCCTTGATTTGTTCATAATGAATTAATCTTCAGATGAGAGAGTTACACGTATTCACATATTTTTGATAACATGAAATCCGAATATAATGGTCACAATGAAAGGGGTAGATTTGCTCCTGGGTTCATATTTTCCCACTTGAATGTGAAGTCACATTTTCTTTCCTTTTGTGTTGGTTTCTTTGGAATCACACAGTCTGATATAATCAGCGATGATGGTCAAGAGAGGCTTGGTGAGCTGATAGAACCTTGGTTCATCTTCTCTCTGGTCTGGTCTATGGGTGGCACCTGTGATGGTAATGGCCGCCTAAAGTTCTCAAAGTGGCTCAGACAGAAGATGGATGAGGCTAATGTGAGTACAAAGAATGTGTATTCAAAAGGAGTGGTCGGAGTAATTTTTATCCCTGTCCACTAGAATTGACTGTATAATGTAACATTTTGGTCCTAAAACTAAAGGATTTTTCTTGTTGTTCCCTCTATTTTTGTGCCTTTATAAAAAAATGCATTATACTTTTTAGGTTTTACATTTTGGGTCAGGAATAGATTTTGTCAAACTTTATTGAAAAAAAAAATTGAATTTATGCTCACTTCTAGGACTGGTTACCCTCAGTTTAAATGTGATGCGTGCTGACAAAATGAGTTACTTCTCGGATTTCAGCCTTAAGGGAATAGATACTTCACTCCTATAGGTGAAGTTTTTTTTACAATTTATAAGTATGAGATAATAAAAGACAGGAAAGTTAAAGAATATGGCTTAAATAGAAAATCCTCAAATTTGACCCTAATGTCGATTTTGGGCAATATCTCTGTTTGTGAGTTGCGAGAAGTAACTCATTTTGTCGGCACCCCTCTCAAATATGTGACGAGAAAGAACTTTATGTTTTCCCACAATTCATTGATTACAATGGTAGGCCTACTATGCCTGGGAATTCTCTGAAGTCCTGATTTTATTGTGGCCTCTACCCCTAAGCCAGTGAGAGGAGGAATGGCTAACATTGCAATTTGTCCAACTGGTACATCGTGGAGATGTGGAAAGAAATATGGTCAATATAAATGTGTCAAAAGGATATTTCTACATGTCTTTTTTTTCTTGTTCTTCTGAAAATATATATCCTGACATATGTTGCGCCCGGGTGGTTTGACAGTGCCCCTGGGTATGTTCAACTTTGCTCTTCCTCTGTTTTTTATCCGTCAGTGTGCCTTTCTTTTTCTTCTTGTACTAATCAATATATCGATGTGTATCTTTTTATTTAAAAATCTAAACTTGTCATTTTATACAGATATTAATTCTTTTTATCATTTCACAGATATCTATTTATCTTTAAATGAAAAGAGCTCCAAAAATGTATACTTGCCCCAAAATATGTTCTACTCTTCAGTGTCAAGTCAAATTCCCTGAGGAGGGCCTTGTGTATGATTATTGCTTGGATGACAGTGCAATTATAATAACAGAAACTGAAAATGAGGAAGAAGAAGATGAAGAAGGAAAGGTATTATCATGCTTTTTCTTGTGTTATTGTAGCGTTCTTGTCATTTCGCCTTATGGTCGTTTTCTGCGGTGTAGTAATTGTTGCATGCTTTGCCATTGCAAGCAGAAGATGGGAGTTCAATTCAAGTATCTCCATTTGTGGTACATCATAGTGAAATCAGGCGCTTGGCAAAATAATGAAATCGAAGATACTGGCATAATTTTCAGCCAGCAAGGCGATTTTTATTGAATTTTTTTTGTTTTTGGCTCAACACTATATGCCTAATTAAAAATACATTTCAGTTTGGATGTTTACAGGAAAAAAATTGATTGATTAAAGGCACAAAAATTGCAAGTTTTCTCTTTCCAAGGAATCTCGAACTATGGAAGTTACCAAACTTTGGGGACCATTTTCTCGCTAAATTGACATCTGAAACCAGTCAATCCCTACTTCATTCAATCACAAATATCTCGACTTCTATTCAAGACATATGGGTATTTCTTTCACCCAAAGCAATGCAAATGAAAAGGCTTTTAGTTGATACCAATAACTCCATATTCACAAAAATTGACGAGCGCCTGATTCCACCACATCATAACACATTAGTCTGCTGAGACATTGTATCCCTCCCAGCACAAGCAGGCCCTGGTAGTAAGGGTCAAGGCAGCTAGTCTCCTGTGAAGAATGAACAGAATTGTGTCGATAGGGGTGCAGAACACCTTCATTTATTATTGCTCCCTCAGCACAATGCCCAAGATGTCTTAAGTTTTATCAGCACAACTCTGAAAAAGAAATTCTAATATATCTCAGTCCAGGAAAAAGAAATGTATCAGAAGGTCTTGTCTAACTTTTAAGCGAATAATTCATGTTATTCAGAAAGATGACTTACTCTAAAATGTGAATCAATATTAGATAGTGTTGAATTTTTTATTTTTTTTTGGTGCTTAGATTTAAAGTGTATTAACATCACTGTTTTTGTCTACGAAGTCTTCCAAAATCTTTTTAAAATTGTCAAAATGTTCTGTTTTCAAATGTCCATACCTCAAAAAGTAGTAAAAGAATGGCAAATAGAATTACACTACCCGCTATCCAGGGAAAAGGTCTGGTGTATTTGTGATCAATTCACACTGTGTTCAACACTGTTATGTTTGTATCAACGTGAAATTAGGAACACAATGCTAGAACAAACTGAACAGACGACATTTTATAGGAACTCAGTTACACCGGAAGTTCTTACGACAATTGTGCGAGGATCTAATTACAATCTAATTAGACTGAGCGATTGTCTTTATGACGCATCACACTTTACGTACTTAACTTCTCCACATACATAATAAATCGTCAACAAACACCATCATTATATACTTCAGCCTCTCAAGTGGGTCAACTGGATGACAGATTGGGCACAGTTTGAAGTGACATCGGAAATGAAGTATTCTGACATTATGGTACCCACTATAGACACAATCCGCTCATCCTATATCCTGAATCTTTTCATCATCAACCAGCAAAAGGTAATCTTTGAAGTGAATTTTTGTTGTTGGATTTTCCAAACTTGATTGACCTATACTTTGGAAGTTGATTAGTCTTGTGTTACCGTGGGAACAAAGTTAACATTATTTTTCACCCCATGAAGATGTTCATCTTCATATTTTTTCCATGAATATGCTATTTGATCATAGATGTGTGTTAGTAATGAGTAAGTGATTGAGTGGATGAGAGGGGAAAGAGAGCGAGAAAAAAGAAAGAGAGAGGGAAGGAGGGAGGGAGAGAGAGAGATAGACAGACAGACAGATGTACGGGCGGACAAATGTACAGACAGACAGACAGATAGACAGACTTGTCAATAAGAAAAAAAGATTTTATGCCTTTTAAAAATGATATAGTAACATTACAAATCTTTCCTTCATGGTTTTCTTTCACTTAATTTAGTTAATAGTAAACCTGCAGGTGTAAACATATTTTTCAGCTTCTCGTTTACTGTCTTCAAGGACAGCTAATAGAATGAGTTTCTTTTTTTTCCAGTGTGTCTATTTGTTGTTTGTTATCTGTGCTTTGTGTCTACTTGATAGCTGCTGACAGTTGGACCCACTGGAACAGGCAAGACGCTGACCATCGTTGACAAGCTGACCAGGGGAATGGATCTGGAGTTTCTGCCCGAATTCATCAATTTTTCAGCTAAAACCTCTGCGAATCAAACACAAGACCTAATTGATGGCAAACTGGATAAGAGGTTAATAAAATAAATATATTTTTAGCTATAGGATGTACTTTCTTTTTTTAAATGTTATTGATATTTTAGGATGAAATTTGTTATATTTCATTGTTCCACTGTAAGCTGTATAACTTTTACAAGAATGTTAAGGAATAACGTTCCCAAGGGTGTGGTGGCGGAGCGGTTAGTGCGCTCATCTCCAAAGCGGAAAGTCCGGGTTCGAGCCTCGGTTTGGACACGCATTTTTTTCACCCCCTCCTGCCCACCTAGCAGTAATGGGTACCTGACTTCGAGTTGGGAAAGTAAAGGTGGCGCAGAAAGGAACTGGCCACCCTACCACATTATGCCGAAGGCCCCAGAAGTTGTCTTACTAACAAGGCAATCCTCAAAGTCCGGATTGGATGTGGGAGCAACTTTACTTCACCATCAGTCCATCTTTTCGAAGTCAGTAAAAAGGAAAAGGATACTTCAGATTTGCTATGGTATAGTGACATATTAATTGTTGCTCTGGGGACATCTCGATAGTTCTGTTAATATTATGCTGGGCTATAATGTAAATGGCCATGGTTTAAATTTTCAACTGGACTTTCTTGAAACTAGGTTGTCTGGGGAGTTGTTGAGGCTTTTCATCCACTTGGCTTATCAGAGGTGGAAGCTAAATTTGGAGGGTCTGCCTCTTAAATGACATTATTGTGTATCTGCTTACAACCCAGCTTGTCCTAGCCATCCTTTTGTTTAGTAAAGTTCAGTAGAAAAATAAAGATTCTCAACGAAATTAACTGCTCAATCTGGGAAGTGAGTTCATGTCCTTTACAAGGAAGTCAAAGAGCCTGGCTATTACACCACAGACACCTGTTACCTAACTTTACGGCTGGCGAGGCTCTTAAATTATACGGAATATTTGTATTCATATTATTACCTTTTCCCCAGTTCATTGATGCAAAGTGATTATTTTAGATCACTTTCAATGATTTGAGTCTTGTTTTGATCAGCCTCTATGGTGTAGCAATTAGGTGCTTTATCATTATCATTGCATGCAGAAAACCTTCGTTCAATTCCGTTCTGGTGAGAATTCTTAATCAAGTATGGTATCTCGATCTTTCTGCTGTATTCCTCTCAGTCAGCGTTGAACCTGATAGGCAGTGTTGAAGCCCGCCCCTGCTTGACCTAAATTGTGTCGATGGGATTGTAAACACTGGGGGACAAAGTGGAAAAAAAAAGACTGACCTGCAGCTTAACATTCATTTCCTCATATTTTATGTGGCAGGCGGAAAGGCATTTATGGGCCCCCAGTGGGGAGATATTCAGTCTTCTTCATCGATGATCTCAATATGCCTGCCCTAGAGACATACGGAGCCCAGCCTCCAATTGAGCTGATCAGACAGTACATGGACTTCTCTGGATGGTATGACCGCAAGTCCATTGGTAAGTTTTCAGGGTTATAAAGTCAAAGGTGAAAGTTGTAATTAAGCAAGTTGTGCTATTGAGTTTTCTTGGTACAAAGGGATAGTAAGTTGGAAAGAAGTATTAAATCGTTCTTTAAAAGTAGACTCGTGCGCATGCCAACAACGAATGTGTTGGTATGAAAAAAGGCCGCTGATTGGTCGCATGCAATCGGCTAAGTGAATAGTTGTTCACGATGCAGGTGCAATGGATGGTTTTCGGGAATAGATAAGGTTCGTTCTGGGAGAAAAATGAGCGAAGCCACGTCTGCGGGGGGCTGTTCATATTGGAAGCGACCTCGTTGAATCCGAGCTCGTTGAAATTAAGCGCTTGTTTAATACGGGTTATTTTTATTGATTTAAAAGAAGAAAAAAAAGCGGGTTCCCTTGTCTCATCTTGTTGAATCCAAGCTCGTTGAATCTGAGTTCCACTGTATTTTTTAAAAGAGAAGGGAAACAATTATTTGAAAAGACGATGAAGTATTGCTATATATTTAAGATGTTATAGACAATTTTGTGGCAAGGGGAAGTAGATATCATAATAATAATGGGCTAGTATTAGTTCCTTGTAAACACTGATGCATGTTTTCATTTTTTCATCTCTGGTTGACTTAGTAGCAACAAATATGTTTTCTTCACAAAGGATGCCTTGAAGAAGAAAAAAAAATCTGCTTGCTTTTACACAGGCGACTTCAGATTACTGGTAGATGTGAACTTCTTCTGTGCCATGGGTCCAACTGGAGGTGGTCGCAACCCAGTGACTGCAAGGCTTTTGAGGCACTTCAACTTCCTTGCATTTACAGAGATGGAAGATGCTAGCATGTTCAAAATTTTTAAGACAATCTTGGAATTTTGGATAAGTGAGTGGAAAGTTGAAAATTTCATAGATTTCTTTTTCGCTTTTGCAAAGTAATATAACCCTTTGAGCCCTGGTCTCCTCAGCCTAAAGGTCCCATGTACCGGATCTCCCTTGGTTTGACTGCTAGATTTAACACTTTGCCGTCACATGGCGCCGATCGGCAATGTATACCACCCAGTTTCTTTGGATTTTCCCCAAAACGCCTCTGCCTTTGATGGCCAAGGTTTTTACTGTATGAGCCTTGTGATGGCAAAGTGTTAAAGCTACAAACTCAAGATTGGAAATTCAGAGCAGTGTTAGAGTAGAATCGACATCCAAACAGGGAACTATATGCTGCAAGACTGCCTAATGCTCGAAGCATTTAGAAAGAAATACTGGCCCAACCCTAGGCAGAGAAACCCCAAAGCTCTGTGGGGGCCTAGAGGACCTACAGCGATCAGCATCATTCGCATTAGAAACTGGGATGCCCATATAAAGATGAAACAGAAGAGGAAGTAGCTCCAAACTCTAACGAGAATGACGTGCAGTGACCATATTGTGAAGCAAAACTAGTGAATACAATTTTAATCTTTTCACAGCCCTGTGCTCATGTTTTTCTTGCTTGCTTTTCACCTCCCTTTTTCAAAATTTGCTCAATATCAATTTTGATATTGTCAGCTGTAATTATACAGTAACCCTTTCGCTCATATTGAAAAGCATGTTTTAGGTCGTCGGTGATATCCATGGAACAAGAATTAGAGGTATAATGAATGTCAGTAAAGCACAGAGTTGCCTACTTTTAGGATATATGGCATTTATCAACAGTTTGTTTATTGCTTTCATCAACTTTATATTGATTGTAAGATTGTAGATGAATAAGAATAATTAACACTTTCCACCCACGTAGCGTGCAGAGTGCACAACCTTTGCCCCATGTACCTGGATATAGATGGGGCACATCAGTACTATACCCGTATCTCAGCAAAAATACCTCAACCATTATGAAATTTTCAGCATATGGAGAAAATTGAACGTGATGATCTCATGTTCACCAAGCAAGTAGGCGCTAACTATAATCGGAACTGAAAATATTCAATCTAGCACATTCATCACCTGAATTCTCATCATGGTGTAAGTGTAAAGCAGCCCTAATGCCAGGTCTAATCGACATATGTCAAAATAATGTACTCCAATTGTTGTAAACAAACTGATTTTTATACCTCAAAGGCCACACAAACCATTCAGATCATTGCTACAACATGTTTGTTGCTATATCACACCATTGCCAATCGGCATCTCGTTGGGGCAAAGTGTTAAAAAAAAGGCTATGACGTTTCACATTTAGATAATAAGATAAGATGCATCTTTATTGTCCAGATCTTGGCACATTGGTTTTGTGTTGCACCACACACACACACACGCACCCAAACTGGCAGAAATATGCCGGTTTCTCAGATTTATTATTTTGACGAGTGCCTGATTTCACCACGATGCCTCACATATTAAAATAGTATGCTTGCACTCTCAAACAGTCTTACAGTCGCATGCATAATTTAAATGAACAATAATATAAACATTAATAGTGTTACGCTAGATAGCTACTCAGTAATTAGACTGCTTGGTGTAAGACTCTGCCATACACCGTTTTGAAAAGTGATGTTAGACTGAGTCTTAGTTTGAGCAGTCGGTTTGGATTGTTCTTTTTTTTTGGAGGGGGGGTAAGTGTTTTACGGCGCTCGCAACTGCATAAGGTCATATGACGGCGTGGGACACATTAAACTTTTTCAGTTGGTAGGAAATTTTTAATTTTGCTCGGGTGGTGGCCAAAGCCTACTCATCGATTTTAGACCACCAAGGGATCTTTAATGTGTGCAATTTGCACATGGGCCCTCCGAGATTTTTCGCCCTTGTCCAAGAAGACTAGGTGTAGATCTTTCCTTCCAGAAGATCAGGGGTGTGACTGAATGACAGCAGTAAGAAGGAGCCATGGAGTAACAGTAGAAAGGCTGCAGAAAGAATTGGGAGCCCAGAGGAGGGGGTAAAGGAGGTGAGGGGGTGGGGGCAGGAAGAGAAGACGAAAGCAGACGACAACATTGCTAGAGAGTAGGAAAGTAGGTGAAAGGAAACAATTCTAGAGAAAACATTTTTTTGGTCGCTGCCCGGATTCAAAACCGGGACCTTTGAATGAGAGGCCAATACGTTCACCTCAAGGCCACGTGAGCCGCCCCCCCCCCCCCACGTCCCGATTGCTCTTTATACTTGTAACCTGCATTCTAAATGTATGTGTCTTGATCTTATTGTCCCCATCTTTTCCTGGCAAAATATGGCTGTTAATGTACTGAATTATTAAAACACAAACTGGGAGTGAAGGCTTGATCTCATTTCCTCCGCAGGCAATTGTCCATCCATTGCCTCCTCCTGTGACCAGCTTGTGTGGACCACTATCTCTATGTACAACATTGTACAGACTCAGATGCTGCCTACGCCAGCCAAGTCCCACTATACTTTCAACATGAGAGACCTCTCAAAAGTGTTTCAGGGCATTCTCATGGGTGATCATGCAGAAAACAAGGTAATTTTAAGGTCTCCCATCTACATTTCCTCTCTTCCTCTCCTTCTGCCAGCTGGTTTACTATATATACATATTATTGATTTTGTTTATGGGCAAAAAGTGTCTTTCATATTTTTGCTAGTAAAAAACACTTGTCTTTTTAGTGGAGCAGTGGTGCTGTTTTGTCTCCTACAAAGTCTGTCTCAGAAGTGAATTTCCTTGTTCTGTAAAATCATTAATTTTTATCTTAGAGACATGAAATTTAGTAGGCCTTCCTATCTACAGATACACATTTTCTATTCAACATAAAAAACTCTGATCTCAACGCACGTTTTAATCTGATGTGTCTAGCGATCAAACGTGATGTCAAAGTCCGTTTTGATGGATGTGTAAGAGCTGATGAAGCACTGATTCTGATAGAAGTTAATCACATTGACATTGCTCTTTTCAGAAAGTGGAAGATATCCTAAGGCTGTGGTACCACGAGAGCTGCCGAGTGTTCCAGGACCGTCTGATCAATGATGAGGACAGGCAGCTCTTTGAGAATGTGCTCAGGCAGAAAATGAAAGAGGACTTCCATGTAGATTTTGAGAGTGTTGTTACCATTCAACCACTGATCTATGGAGACTTTCTCAATGCTGATATAGATCCAAGACCATATTTGCTAGTGGATGATCTTCATGCAGTAAGAGTTCTCTTGTTTACTTTTTTGGTTCCTTTTCAGTTAAATGCTGTAAGTTTCCTTGTTTTTACAAACAAAAAATCATAATAGTATCGTTTTAAATTTAAAAAAAAAAGAATATTTTGAGTTGTACCTCTCCCATTACAGCTATGTGATTTTAAAATAAGACTGGAACTTTTTCAAGGAGAAGTCTCTTCATTTATTTGATTTTGCTCTATGCAGCTTATGCATCATGACAGGAACTGTTTTAGTATCCCCCCCCCCCCAATTTTTTTTTAATAAGTAAAAAATAAAGAATAAATAGAATTTTAAAAAAAACCCATATAGATATAAATATCATCCCAAAATAACGGAAGAGACATTAAACAGGTCCACAGCACTGTTGACAATTTTACCGTTACTGTCTGAAAACAAAAAATGCTCCAGAGTGCAGAAAGATGCTAGGGATCAAACAGTTTGATTTATCCATCTCATGCTTCAACATGGTGTGATGTTAGCATTCAAACTATCAAGTAAAATTTTGATTGATGGCGGGACGTGTTCATTCTGAAATTACGTTTAGTTCAACTGTAATATGTGGTTACAATACTTTTAAAAAATCAGAACCAAGCATCTCTCCATTTTCCAGTTTCTATGTCACAGAAAGCAAAAATATACCAGCAAATTAAATTAAAGAACAGCGTGACTGTTGAATTGCCCAGAATTTTCAGTGTAATAATTTTTTAAAAATTTTTAGGCTTTAGATACATTTGATTCCCAAAGGGGGATATTAACATGTTGTTGTGCACAGTAGAATTGTAAATGGGCTGATTTATCAATGTCAAGCTCAAACTGTGCCGGAACTACGTAAGGGGAACTGCTGCTTTTTCTTTCCTATTATCATTTTTTCCTCTGCTTCTTTTGTATGTTTGTCACTTTCTTGTTAACTGCTATTTCCGGGGTGCCTTGGCAGTCGAAGCAGACTTTGTGTTGTTGAGGCTAGAGAGGTGAACAGAGTAAGCCTGATTCCCCATTTGGACTTCTCTCTTGACATCCACCCCTTATCCCTCGTACGACCTTATGTAGTTGCAAGCACCATAAAACCTTACTAAAATTAAGATACATTAGACTCAACCATTTGGTAATTTTTCAAGCAATCAAGCCTTTTGTAACTTCAATAATGTATTCAACAAATGGCATTTTGCTCTTGCTTTTAGGAAAGGATCAGGAGTGAATGCTGTACTTTTCATTTAGCTTTCATTCCTCTGGGAATATTTGTGTTTTGAAATATGACAACCTACCTAAACAGAAGTTCCACCTAATAAACTGCATTTTTCTTTTGAAAAAAAAAAAGATAAATGAGAATGATCAATATGCATGCATGTTTAATTGACTGTAATTTGGTTTGGTCTTGTTCAGGCCCAGAGGTGCTTAGAGGACTTTTTGGCAGACTTCAACCAAGGCTCTATCAAGAAAATGGAGCTCGTCCTCTTCATGGATGCCATCTCTCACATGTCTCGCATCACGAGAATTCTGAGACAGCCTCTGGGCAACGCCTTGTTGCTTGGCATGGGTGGCAGTGGCAGGCAGAGTTTAACACGCCTCTCTGCTTTCATGTAAGTGGGGACTTTTGCCTTTGGGCATATTCCTGTTTCAGCTTGGTGTAAAGAAAGTCGTTTTCATATCGGAGAATACATTTTCTTTTTTGTAGTATTCTGCCGTCGTAAGGGAAAACGACGAATAGTCCAGCGCAGGTGGCGAGGCAAATTTTTCAGGAGAGGCAAAAACGGTTTTCACTTTATAAATCTTCCATTTTTTATTCTTTTAGGCTGTAATTCACCAGATTTCTAGTTAAGATGTTCATAGAGCAGTGTCATAAGTTTGAATGGTTTAGGTTGAAAAGTAGCAAAGTTATTCAACATTCGTTGTTCTCCCTGACACTGCGTGCCCGCAGGTAAGCCCTGCAATGTACGCGAAAACGACGAATGGTACGGTTCGTCGTTCTCTTTTACTCTCGTGAACGTTTATGGGTGTAGGCGATGGTCAGTTGTGACGCATTATAATATTGACAGTGATGACCGTGTAGAGGTTACTACAAATAAAAATAAGACGTATACAAATTAGCTATTATGTATAAAGTTAGGTGTTTGTTATATCCCAACTGTAACTTGGTAAGCGTTCTTTGTTTCCCTTCCTGGCCTGGTTAAATACTACATAGTCAAAGTACAAATAAGATGTGTTATATAAACATACACATTTTCAACAGCTTGATTTAAAACTGTCTCACTCGGAATCAAAGTTTGGTCTCCATGTTATCTCTTTATTGTAATGTAATTGTACAGTATTCTCTTCAGAAGCGAGTTTTCCCTTTATTTTCACTGATTGCTAAATTCCCCCTGCACGACCAAAGGGATCCATAATGTTACAAAGTCAATAATTTGATCTGATCATTGCAAAGTCAAACTTTCACGTAAGAAATGTAGCAATCTGACAAGATTGTATCGCAAACGCTCTCGGGAGAGGTAATGTGACGCTTTGTACAGCTTCAGTTGTATTTAATAAACTAAAGGCGACATGGACAGTTTGAATCTGCAAGACATTATTAAACTCGATCGTAACGTCCATCAAGTCATAAAGGAATGGTAAAGCAAGAATTTTAATGTCGCCACAATATGTCCACTTCATAAGTTGGACAAAGAAATTTACTCTCATAACGCAGTGTCTTTAATTGCTTGGTAATTCTATAATGATGTCAACAAGTGACACGTACTAGACAAATTACGGCACTATAACCATCGTTGGGATGTAAAATGACTGGACAATAAACTAATATAATGTCAGTCTGTGAACATTTGGGGAACACTAATATGCAATGCTAATAAATATCTCCCTAAATACTTTTTTATCCTCCCATCCCCACCCCTTTTCCCCTGTTCTCATCCGTTTTGCTCTCTCTCCCGCAGGCTCTTGTCAATTCACACCATCAGCATTCATGAAGACAGACAGAAAGACACACTAAGTGATATATTCTTAAAATCCTGATCGATTGTACTCCGGGGCAGGGGATGGTGGTGTGTTTGTTTGCTAAAAAGTCCTAGTATGTTTGTACAGACGCAACAGTGACCAATTGTCATTCGTCGTCCATGCCGAATTTGCCCAAAGGCAGAGACCAGGGGACAACGCCGAACGAGCAGTGATCCTTGACCAATCGACCATCCGTCGTACTCCCTTACAATGAGCTCTGGCTCAGAGCTCGTCAGTGTACGGGAAAACGACGAACTCTCAATTACCCAACAACAGATTAGGATATAACAAAAAATTTCACACCATCAGATGCAGAATTAAATACTCTATGAAATATGTAAAAATAAAAAAATCGAATTTTGACCATTCGTCGTTTTCCCTTACGACGGCAGTATTGGTCCTCATAGCCTTGCTGATAATGAAGAAAAATTCTGAACTTTGAAGACCATAACTTGCTAATATTAATGATAATGAAGCCAATAAGTCAATTCGAGAGATTTTTTTTCTGTTTTTAATCGCTTGGATTTATTGAATGGAGAAAAGTGTGTAAAGTATTTGGAGGGGGGAACTTAATGTCCACCATCTTGACCCACTGCATGAGTAGAGTCTATTTTGTAAGTATTTGAAAGTTGACAGCCATGGTTCTTATTTACAGTCTCATTCCACTGGAGAAGACGTACATCATGGCAGCATGTTATGTATGCAAATGCTGTCACTCTCACATGAGATTTATCTGTTTTCAGTTCTGAGTATGACTGTTTCCAAATTGAACTTACCAAGAACTACGGAAGTCACGAATGGCAGGATGACCTGAAGAAAGTCATGATGAAGGCAGGAATCAGAGATGAGCCTGTTGTCTTCCTGTTCAGTGACACACAGGTAAAAGAGCCCATACAGTATCTATACATATTATATTTGTGAAAGTCCTTCACTTTGGCCGCCTTAAACATCCGAACCACTTAACTTTCGAATTTAAAAAAATTAACAGTGGTTCAGAATCTTTTAAAGGGTGCACAGTGTTATTGAGGAGTCTGAAGTCACTGTAGTTTAATTTTCAGTTTTTCATTACTTTCGTTAAGATCTAATCTTGGGAAAGTCCGTCTTCTTAGACGCCATTGTGAACAAGTGACGCTGCCGTTCACAAGCTGTGCACACTTTTTCTACAATGACTTGATGAACGACGATTTTTTAAAGTCCGTTGATCGAACGTGTACCCAGCTAGTCAAATATATGTGTCGCGACGAGGTGGAATCAGGCGCTCTTCATTTTTGGACAAATGGAGTTTTTGATGTTTATTTGACTTGTTTTCGATTTTAAAATTACCCATCTTTCTTGAAGGTCGCCTGGTTTCAGAGATAAAATTTTCAAGAAAATGGCTGCAAAAGTTTGAAGACTTCCAAAGCTTGAGAGTCATTGAAGACCGCAACTTACATTTTTTTGTATGCCTATAATCAATGCTTTTTTATAACGTCCACACAGATATGTGATTTTAAAAGGATACGTCATTTTACAGTTCTCAGTCTATGACTCCGACAAAAGAGTGGTAACACATGTCAAATTATCAATGTTAAGAAATTAACATTATGATCCCTACACAAACGTATATAAACTTTGATGACAATTATAGCTTTTAAAGATCTGAACTTCAAGTGTTGTAGACATACAATTTTTGTGTTGTTGTTTTTTGTTTTTTTTTACCACAGATCAAGAGTGAATCCTTTCTTGAGGATGTCAACAACATTTTGAATACTGGAGATGTACCAAACATTTATTCTTTTGAGGACTCTGAGAATATTTATAAAGAAATGAAACCAATTGTTATGGACATGGGTCTGTCACCCACCAAGACCATCATGTTTTCAGCGTACACTAAGAGAGTGAGAAGTAATCTCCATACTGTCATCACCATGAGGTAAATGAATTTCACTTTTTCACCCTTATAATGGCGTTTGTGAACTTTTTAATTATTTCAATGAGCTTTGCTTTCATGTTTTTGGAATCATGAAGATCATGCTGCTATTTTGTTCTAGATACAACTCGTTAATGCTGCTTTGCGGGTACACTTTTATTTTACTAATTTTCAATCTCTGATTAAAACCTTTACTTTTTTCTCGGCTTATTTCTCAGTCCATTAGGGGAGATATTCCGAGCCAGACTCCGTCAGTTTCCAGCCCTGGTCAACTGCTGCACTATTGACTGGTTCAGCCAGTGGCCTACGGAGGCACTGCGGTCTGTGGCACTCAGGTTCTTACATGATATTGGTGACCTGGATTGTAGCAATGCTGTTATGGATGGATTGGTAAGGAGAGAAATTAAATATATGATGTTAATGGTTTGTTGGCTGTAACTAAAGGAAATAATGACAGTCACGTAGAATGATATCATTGTTGAACTTTTCATGAGGTCTGGCTTTTTATGTTTCTCTTCAGAATTGAAGGTTTCAGACTTTTATATTTGACAATTCTTTAATCATCTCTCAGGGAAAAATTTGTCTTGTTCATTTACAATGGCAGTGGAATGTTACAAGGGTTAGATGTGCTCATGCATATACACAACAAGACAGGACTTTAGTAAATACGTGTTTTACGAGCTGAAACAACCCGCACCGTAATCTCTCTGTCTCTCTCTCTCTCTCTCTCTCTCTCTCTCTCTCTTTCTCTCTCTCTCTCTCTCCCCCTCCCTCCCTCCCTCCCTCTCACTCTCTCTCCCC